CAGCGTGTGCGCGAGTAGGGCGGAGGACGCCCGAAGGGGTGGAAGACAGATAGAGCGAGATGGCGAAGCGGGAGCTGCAACTGGGTGGCAAGCACATCATCATTAATGAGGCTGAGCGGATAGCAGCCGCGGATTCCCACGTTCGCACTGGCGTCGCAATATCTCCCCTTTATCACGCATCGCCCCGTCGAGAGAGGTACTTCGCCACTGGCGCAACGAGAATTTCTTCTCGCATCGGGACGTCGTCGTTTTAACGTTGGAATCCAATTTCCTCGGGAGTACTGACATATTAAAGTAAACTCGTACACTTTAACGCGTGGGACGCTGCACAAGCGCCCGCCGTTTAATTGCGAAACATTGTGCGCTCGCTATTGAATTTATTTGTCGACAGATGCTTTTCTTACAGTCCAGTGCCTTATTCTTACTTTAATTGTGCGCCAGTTATTATTATTTTATTTATCTTACAATTGAAAGGTTTGGTAGATTTTTTTTCTTTCGTACAATGGAGAAATCTTTATACGCATCTCGATAATTCGAGACGTTCTCTTCTTCGAAATACATCCTCTTTAGACGTCTTTTCAGCGATATTCTTTCAAAATCTTGCTGTATTATTGTGAAATATCGTCAAAATAATAGCGAGTTGAAATTGATACGTAAATGCAAAGAATCAGTTTTTCAAATCGAGATAGCGATTTCATATGCGCGGACAGGCGTCCGCACACGCGTAACTAAAGAAGCGATGCGAAATCCGCTCCGGGGTTGTTTGCTTTATCGACCAAATTGGCCGTGCACATCGTAACAGGTACAAATATTATTATTTTCCAGGAGTAATTGTTCTCTCTACGGTGAACTCCCTTGTCGGAAAAACGCGCCCGATAAAGACTTGTTTACTTTACAAACAATGATCCTTATGTTCTATGCATAGCAACGATATTACCTTTCAAAACTAATACTGTCTACATATATTTATGATAATTTTAGCTACTTATTATCCATTCATGATTTCTTCATGAAACTAACGATGGAACACTTTTTCCTTTGGAAAACTAAAGTTTCATAAAAAATTTATTCAATAAAAGATGTTGACATTAAAAACTGTAAAATTTTAACAGGATTTTAACAGAATTTCAATGAGACACAAGTTAAACTTACATTTTTAATCTTAAACGCCTCGAGTAAGCTCCTTTTTTAACAAATATCAATGTAAAGTCAAAGCATCCAAATTTTCGATATTAAAATTCAAAAAATTCTACAAAATAATGTTTCTCAAAGCTTAAATTATTTATTTCCTTGCATTTGTGTATTCGTAAAACACGTAAAATATTGGTCGCAAAGTTTAAATGTAATTTTATCAGCTTTCGTCGAATCCCTGTGAATCAGACGAAAAACGATCTGTTTTTTTCGCAGCCGTGGCCATTAAGCTCGCCTTTTTCATACAAAAGCGCCTCGCTTTACGCAGGATCTCTCGCGTTCAAGAAGGAACATTTTGTCGCTCTGTACGCATCGTTGCTCAAATACAGAGCTTTATAGCTGAGCGGCTTACTGTTCGGCGAAGCGAAAACGAATGTGCGTCAAGGGAAAGCTTTTGGCATGGAGAGACGAAGATCGGACAAATTGATCTCTTAGCGGAGACTGATTGCAAATTTATTACATTCTTAGTTTATTGAACATCGTCTGAAGTTGTTCAGCTTATACATGTTTCCTGCACAATTTTCTTTCCACGTTAAAAAAACAATAATAAACAATAAGAATTTTGTAATATGTAGTATTTCGTAACGTTTCACAATTTTAACGACGCAAAAACAATTATGCATATTAACAGAGAATGAAATTAAATTCAAATCAAAATTTTCCACGCTTTTAAAGGTTTTCCCAAGTTTAAAAAGAAAAAAATTGGGTTAGACCATTGTCGCGACACAGAACCCTCGAATTTCTCGCGCGTCAGTGGCTTAGAGGAGCGATTTTCGAGAGGTACGTGCGTGTCCGGACAGCGAATGGACACGGCGGCGAGGATTAGAATCGCATGCGCTGGAATGGACCGCGCCCTGTTCCCTTTTCATCTCGTGATTCCGCCCTCTTTCTTTCTCTCTCGTTCACCCTCGCCTCGCCGTCTCTTCTCGCTCACCCACACACGTACGTCATCTTATCGCGCACCTATAAACACACGGCCGCCGTAATACCCCCGACCGGCACGTGTGGTCCACAATGCGCGTTCCCACAGTGGAGTGGCGTAGGCGTAGGCGCCTTCTCTGCACGCTTAAACACACGCGTACATATACAAGCGCGAGGTGAACGTGATACATACAGCGCGGCACACCGGGGGTGGAAGCTTCCGTTTTAACATTGTGAGCGGTGCTCACACGGGCCACGGATCACGGGGGCTCACACTCTCTATCCTGCTAAACGGTAAACCGATCTGTGAACATTTCAGCAGTCAGCGATCTCGAAGGCTAATCTCCGGGTGAATGGGGTTGATACACACGGACGGCGCACTACCACCACCGCCGTCGACAATCGTCAACGTCATCGCCGTCGAAGAAGATTCGCGGATCGCGTGTCGGCTGCGTGCGATACACGTGTTAACACTTCAGGGAGATTTTCATGTTGATTCGAAGGGATACGCGCTGGGGGAGGTGAGCTCGGATGGACGCTTGCGTAATGGCTATTTTAGTTAAACAAAATATTTTTGAAAGTATGTTAATATTGAAACGTCGAGACGGTATTAGAATCAAATATTGTTACGAACATAACGTGCTATTCTTTATTTCGAGGAAAATTATTCAAATTTTAACTTTAAACGTATAATTTTTGTAAGATGACAATTGAACAAAATATTAAAATCTATAAATTGTTTTGGAATGCGAACATTATTTTTGGAACTGTTTTTACAATAGCAATTTTACTAAACAAAAATTGACCGCGCAAACTTGCAACAAAAATGCACAGCGAAGAAAAAGCTTTACATACACAGACTGTTGGCCGCGCGATACAGTCTGTTTCTACTTGCATCGACCGCATCGCTTCTATCGTTCGGAAAATCGTATGCACATTGTCATACGTGTATCTGCATACGTTACGAACCGTATGCGATCCGTATGTAACATTGCTCACTGTCCAGTTAACGCATTCCCTCGGCCAATCCCGTAAATCAAAATTCCGTGAAACGAGATCAGTCCGTCGAATATAAAATACATATGCATGAGATAGCGGTTGTGTCTCGATTTAGGTTTATGCAGTGTTAAATTGACCCTTTTCTCGATCTGTCCAAACATACTTGCGCGTCATACATTCATTAAATAATATAATAAAAATAAAATCTATCTTTCCATCGCAGTGCATTTGTGATTTTGGTGAAAAGCAGATAAATACAAGTACATTTCCACGAATAAATGCATTTAAATTTTTTATTAACGCGAAGAAAAAATTAAATATGATACAGGCAAACTTGACATTTTACGGTCACCCATTCGCAAAAATACCCGACAGAGAAATGGTTAAACGTATTTCCGCTTCGCGCGCGGAGAACTGTTCGTAACTCGTGACACGAGGCGAGAGAGCCGCACAGACCGTGATAACCCGCGAATGTAATTCTCGCATTTATGCGAGCCGGAGACGACCGGGATGCCGGGGATGGATCGCTGCAGTTCCTCCGGGCAACGTTGGTATGATGACAGGTGACGATCAAAGCCGGGCTTAGCGCAACGACCCGTTTCGTCCGCACACATCGCGCTCGTATCACGCGAGGGAGAACGTGAACGCATTCTCCTCCATTTCTCTCTCTCTTTCTCCCTATCTCGTTCTCTCCCCGTGTACACTGGATGTCATAAATGTCATCCCGTTACTGAATGACAAGTTTCAATAAAACACATCGCGCTAGATAATTTTAAATCCAAAATTCAATGTAAAATTGAGATAAAAATTTTATATTTTTATTATATTTTTGTTTTGATCAATTTCACATAAAATATTCCTTTCTATATGATAGTCTCGAATTCTCGCGACAACACCGTGGAAATTTAGGAAAAATTGAGTAAAAAACCAAATGTTAACAATATTTTTAGTATCATAAATTGTGATAAGCTATTGTCTCGATTACGGACTCTGAATTGAAGATGCAATACGTGTGATTCACAGAGAAGCGTCTACTGGAATACAATTCATGATCGATTAAACTTGAAATTGTTATAGCTTGTTTCACGATTTTCACGCAATGATGCTGCTTTGCGTTATCTGAATTTTTCAAGAATAGACTTTGATTAAACGTCCGAACACGTGTGCTCTTTCGAGAAGCATCTAATGCCGAGAAGGCATTTATGACGACCACTGTACCCCTCGCTCTGTTCCAGGACCGCTTTACCGTTTACCGTTTATGTGGATGGATTGATGCTGCCCGTCGCGTGTACGGCACGCCTCGCTTCGTTGCGTTACCAGCCGTCCACTCCCACGCGATTCCCCCTGTGTGCTGTCACTACCCTCAGCCCCCCGTTCAGAGCCGGCCGAAAACATTACGAGGATCCGGAACAATTTTTTAGAAATGACTTTTCGGGGCGTCTGGCCAACTGGCGCGCGATGAAACATAGTAATTTCAATACAGAAGCGTTTTCGAATTTCTAAGCAAAAATAATTCGACGGACTTTAATGTAGAAGTGAAATTCTTCTTCTTAAATGATCGATTTCTTTATCATTATATTTTTGTATAAACGCATATTTAAAAACTTGAATGATATATCTTTTAAGGGGGGTGAAATTGTTGAAGCGCTGTTCTCTTCGCGTGCGCGCGCCATTTTGTTGCTATGCCACTTATTTTACACAAGTACGAATATTCGAAATATTAAAAACATCCTTAAAATTTAAAATATTTGAATTTACAAATCTTATTTAGAAAGTATGTGAAACGTCATGAATATTTGCGAATCATGATGCTTCACATCTGTTACGCTTCCGCTTTGATTCTGTCGTCGTGCGCTTTTCTCTGTTTCTTTTCGCCGTACATCGCTTTATCGTATTCTTTTTCTGTTTTGCTCGAATCGTGCTCAAATGCCATTCACCAGCGTAAAATCCTTTCGCGTGCGACTCGCGAGACGTTCAGATTTTTGTAGGACATACTGCGATTATATCCCGCGCGATTGGGCACTTGGATACAAAAAGAGTTTCAAAAAGAAGCTTTCATAGCCTTCAGGAAATGGTATTTAGAACTTTTAGTTTTGATTGAAAATGATTTACTGTTTCTGATATATAAAAACGGAAATAAATCTGTTCGGAAGTAAATTCTGTCAAAGAATATAATTAAAAGTTAAAATCTCCATTGAAGTCGCTTTTATAAAAATGAAATGTGATTGTTTCAGTCTTCTTTCATTTTACTCTTACAGATCTAAATAATTCGACGATTTTTTAAATATTACTACGATTATACGATTAAATGTAGAATGAAGAATTTTCATACTCCGAAATCAAAGAACACTCGAATAATTTCAATCTACCGAAAGGGGCAAAATGCCTCGAGTGCGAATTCTGATTTAATTCCGGTTCAAAGTACTTTCAGAAAGGGTGCTTCCGAATTATGAACGGAAACAAAGAGATTTAAAGTTTGAAGTAGCAGCCGCGATCGATTGGGCATGAAACGAGGCAAAGTTTGCGGATTCAGGAGTGTTGGTGGATCTGAATGTGTGTACACTAGAAATGATGTTGACCGTACGGTTCCGGGAAAAGTCGTGGAGCATAGAATTTCATCGGCGAGTCATCATCTTCTGGTTCCTCCCGCTTTTCGTTTAACTTCTTAACAAGATATTTAACTTGAAGGGGAAAATCGCGCTGTGATCGTGTTTCTGTCAAATAATCTACAAACAGCTGTGCGATAAAGTTTAAGTAAAGCTTCATAAAAAAATTTGGATAATTCAAAGATTAGCTGTGAAAAAAAAACCGGATGAATTTTCGAGCGTAATACACGGTTAAAGCGTAAACTGTTAACGCGAAAGCAACTCGCGGTGTCCGTGGATGTCTCGCTTCCTTCTGAAAGGAAGTTCTAACCGCTAAGAATTACAAATCCGCCATGGTAAGCCGCTCAGTAATCTTCCGACGTCGTTTAACGCCATATTTCGCGCGATACATATATATAATATATATATATGTATACAATATACACGTCTGTGTGTATACGCGGAATCGCACGGGAGGACGGCATTTTGCCGGCGCGTTGCGCCGGTGCGCCGGTACAGACGGATAATATCACGGGCGGGAACGAATTTTCGTGGAAAGAGGAAAGCACGTCGATTACGTCGGGGGTGTGAGCGCGTTAGAGGTTTCGGGGTTGTCAGCGAGCGGATGATTGCGCGCCTGCGGCGTCACGGCGCTTCGCGATGCGACGAGTACCACGTACATAATATATAACGCTGTGCCCCGAGTGGTCACCTACATCTTATGGGCTCTTCACAACGTTTTTTAAGGTTCGACTGTTCTTACATCGACAAAATTTTAACAATTAATTATTTTAATCATTTTCGGATTTTACGTTTCTGTATAAAAATAAATATATATCAATTATACATAAAACATATTTTTTCATACATTGCTAAACATAAATACACATTGTATTATTATTTTTATAGCATTATTAAATTATGTTGTGCAATTTCTTTGATCATTTTGAAGACACACGTCAGCGAAATAAATCTAGCTCTCTGCATCATGATTTATTATCTAATCGGCTGTCAAATCTTTATTTTAAAGTACGAGTTATTTGTTAAACAAACTACCATCTGTAAAGTTTGATAATTTCATTTGATGTACAATACGCGGTGTAAAAATATTAGATTTTTATTTGACCGTTTAAAAAAAATGTGTATTATTATTTAGTGAAAGCATCGCACGGTGAATTTTATCTTATTTAATTTTATCTTATTTAATTCTTTTAAACCTTGTACTAAATTTAAATAAATATGAAGAGAGTTAATGTTGTGCAGATAAATTATTCAAACTTGCGCGACACTCCGAGGATTTAATCAGTAGTACTAGTCATGTAGCGTCAGACGTAAGTGAAAAAAATTAGTAGAACAGTTTTAACTTTAACAGAACAGTTTTAACTTTCGTCAGCTGTGGTTAAAAACTCTTGTCGTTTAATTATTTTAATGTATAGTAAACGTTCGAATGGTTCAGATACTCTTTTTGTTTAATAATTTTTATGAATTAAGTACTTTAAAAGATAAGGATACTATAATCGCAGCTATACAAACTTTAATGAAGTATCCATGATCTTGCAAAAACATTGAATCGTGTGATACATTTAACGTTTTGATAACTATTACTCGCCTTCGGCTTATACGGAGAAAAGGGAAGAATTCATGGAAGTTATCTGCGAAACAAAGAGCGCCCGGGCGCCATTCTGACGCTGACTATACGTCGGCAATTAATCACGGTGTCTAATTAACTCCACCAACAAAGTACGAGTTATTTCGAGACAGAGGCAGAGAGCGACGTGGGAGAGCGTTAACGTGTACGAGTGTGTTCGCGAAGGTGACGGCAAAAGGAAGCGGGACGAGGAGGTTTCCTCCCCCCCCCCTCCTCTTCCCGTGTTTCAACCCCCGTGTGGAGTCTCCTTAACGTTAGGAAGCTCTGCCACTAATTGAATCTCCTCTCTTACTCGCGTCTGGAGCCTCGACAACCGCTGGGAACCGGCGCACCCGTCCTGCATTAAACACCCCCGACACCCTGAGCACCCTCATCCCTGCCAAGCGGTCTCGTATCACCCCTCCTACCCTCCCGCCCCTTCCTACGAGTCCTCCTCCCATCCCCAGGCCGCCTTTTCTCTTTCCATCTCGCCGCCGCCTCTCTCCACCTCGCACAGAATCCAACCCCGCTAAGCGTCCCAGAAAACGAGCCTCCACCGCTGTTATATCGCCATCGATGGCGAGGAACATCGACCCGTGTACACATAGCCCATCTCGTGTAACTCTCTTGCGGAAGATCAAGCTCGCTTATTTCTAAATATCGCTGTTAAGTCGAGAGTGACGCGCAAATGTAACAAGATCTGCTGGAGATAAAATCTGCCTCTGTTATTATTCAATTCTCTAAGAAATAATCTGAAATAATATTTGTATTGCTCATACGTTTTACTTTTTTGTGATATTCTAATGCAGAAGTGAGAACATAGATTAAAAATTTTTCCGCACAAGATGAGTAAAATTAATCTGACGTAAAGTTGTTTAAAATGCATGTAGAGATAGTTCGCGATAGTTGCGTAGATTACTTCGATATGAATCCAGATTATTTCGGAAATTCTTATTTTTTTTATGCTCAAAGAAATATGAATTAATATTAAATACTGAATAATGTTTGGATGTCGCAAGCAACGCCGATCAAATGAGACGTCACGAAAAATTGAAACGTCGCATGACAATGCATATCCATTATGGCAGTTTCACGGTCAGCACGTCCACGTTTAAGTTTCTCATGACATTGCGTAATAAAGACGAAATAATATTCTATCCGAAATGACGTATTAGCGTTTGAATCTTCACCGAAAATGACATCTTATTCCATAGAATCGATTTTGTCGTGTCGGCTTTTACACTGATAACGTGTGAATTGTTCAACCGTGATCAACGGTCTTTGGTAGTTCCGTGCGAAAGTTTATTTAGGAGGGTCTGGTTGACCGATAGTTACAGTCGATTTCTTCGTGGTTTATTTGTGGCCTTTCACGAGAACATGAGAAATTCGACGTTTCTCATAGTTATTCAAAGTTGACAGATACGATAAACATATTCTTTTATCATTTCACGCGTTAAGGTGTCGCTGTTCGAAAAATAGACATCGATAAATCATAAAAACTCTCTCACTCACATTTCTTTATAGAAAATATACAATATTAAAAAAATTATTAATGTTTATATATAAAAAAATTAAACAAACTAACTAATTAACAATTTACAGATTGTTCTTAAAAAATAGATAATGGCACTATTTAATTATTTTTATGAACTTTCGATGTCGATTAATATACTTTATCGAATCTGACCAAACTCTTAATGCAGAAGACAGATAGAACGATAAAGATAGCATATAAAATATTATAAATGTTAATATTATTCTTGAGTACTTACCGTCCTTGTTCATGTTAGCTTCAAAGCACTTAGCGAGACGACAAGCACGGCATTGATTCCTGTGAGTTTTGTCAATCGGGCAGCGTCCTTTCTTCGCACCTTGTGCCTTGCAGATGTACTCCCGATTACTGTGTATGCTACGTTTGAAAAATCCCGAACAACCTGTAGCAACATAAGCAAAATTGTTTATAATTATATAAAAGTAAGACGAACTTATTTATTTAGCGGTTTTCAACAGCGCGTCAACGAGAAACGTTTTGAAATGTTTAAAAGAGATTTCTATTCTTTTTGAGAAAATAATTTGTCATTTATGATTTTCAATACTGAGGTTTTTTTACATTTCTATGTAAAGAAGATTGCAAAAAGATTTTGCTTTATTGTACACCTGGTCACACTAATGCCTTAACACATGAACTTGCACGGGTGTCAAGGCATATCGAGTCGGCGTGTTTCGACTCTACATATTTTTACATCATGACTGGTTATGAACGTAGCGGCAATGCTGTTTTGGATGTTTATAAATATTGATATAAATATAAATATTATAAATATTAACCTTTTTTTGTCAATTGCTCCAGTCAAAACAGCTTTGCCGCTGTGTTCATAACCACAGTCATGATGTAAAAATATGTAGAGTCGGAACACGCCGACTCGATATGCTTTGACATCCGTGCAAGTTCATGTGTTAAGGCATTAGTGTGACCAGGTGTACAAATATTATTAATTAATATTACCGTCGCAACTGTAGATGCCGTAGTGTTTTCCGGAACTACGGTCACCGCATACATCACACAGTATGTCAAGCAATCTGTCTCCTAAAACAAAAGTAAGTTATATTAGTGATATTCTAATCTCCTTTGCAATTTTTTTCTAAAAACTTACGTGAACATTCGGAGAATGTTTTATAATAATGCTTCCTTACACACTTTCCAAATTTTTAAAAAACAACGAACGATTAAAGCTCATAAAAATATTCTTCGAAATAATTTTAATTGCAAAAATAAAGAGGATTAAATTTCAATAAACGGCAAAATTGCGATAATCGCCTCGTATAAATATCAGACTTAGATTTAACAGGCGATAAAGTAATTATATCGAAAGGATCAAATATCAGATTCGTATCACTTTTTTTCAGATATCGTAATCAAAATAAGGGTATCGCAACTGAGTAACTGTTAGACAAAAAGAGACCGACATTAAAGAACTCTCTCGCGAAATCCCGTTTAAGAAAAGCGAACGGGCCGCAAGAAGATCACCGGCGCTAATCTGTTTCCCCTTTTCCGTAGGAACCCTAATCGTCCTAATGATCCGCGGCAAGAAAAACACGGCCATGCCTAAGCCAACCAAAGCCTTCCTTCCCCGGCGTAGGGAATCAACCGCCTTCGCGTCTCACACCCAGCCAACCTAACCCGATCAACCTGGGTTATTTCAACCCCAGCGGATTACCACCTCCGTCGTGTACACCAATGCTTTCTTCTTCTTCTTCTTCTTCTGCATCGCCTACGTCGTCTGATATCACCCGCTGCTTACACGCATCTATATGTAAATTAAACTCAAAGCAGCTAAGAGTAGCCCGATTTCCAATTCCAAACCAATTGATTTGCTTCGATTTTATCCGACTATTTGCCTCTTCCGCAAATAATTCTTTTTTCCACTATAATTGAATTATTTTAAGTATCATTTTTATTGTTGTATTAATTAACGACGCATTAAGAATATGAAAAAATATTTTTTAACAAGTTGCTAAGATAATTTGCTATTGAATCTCGCTTTAATAGAAATTTTCAAAGATTAAATGATAAAAATGTTTTTTACGTCAGAAATAAAAATTGTCAAACTATAATTTTCCGAAGCAAAATAAGATAATACGTTATTTTTTGATTGACTTTGAAACAATATATAATCTCGAAGCAATGTTTGAAAGACACAAAACCTAAGAAATATTTCAATTTTCTAATATTTTTTATATGATTCCAATGATTTAAAAAATATGAGATCTATGATTAAATGTGCAAGATTAAACATATAATACTTCTTTCACAAATCCGTTTGTATGCAATTTTATGCATTTCGCGAAGCTACATTCCGTATATTCTCATTGACGATGTACGGTGTACATATTTCTATCTATTAACATCAATGCCGATAAATTTCTATTATAAACAATATTAAATATTTAAAACTATTTGTATTACACGCAATATCTCAAGTTTTGAAAGGCGCGATTCAGCTATTAACAGAAAATTCAAGCAATTATGTCTCCATCGCGTTACACAATTTCTTAAATCCTGAAAAGCACGATTTACCATTTAAATTAATTAGAAATCTGTTGATTACCTCTCGGTAGATGAACATTCGTCTCATATCTCGAGAATCGTGAATTGTTCGCAAACAATTCGATGTTCAAAACGATCAAAGCACTATTCGCTCCCGTATCGCGGGATGCACAATTTCTCAAATTTGGAGAACCGATCTGTCAACAGATATGAACCTTCGCGAAACAAAAAAAACCGTTCGAGCACCATCAAATATTTCCTTGTCGCGGTACACAATTTTGTCAGACGCCGAGAAACCGCGATTTACCACCAAATCCCGAGAAGCCGCCGCGCGAAGTCACTCTCACGTCGCACCTTTCGCATCCCCGCGTACCCTTCGAGCCGAGTGATTATCGCACCAGGCTAAGCCCTTTAATCGCGTGTAAGGTCAACAACGTAAGCGAGAGAGTCGGCGAGAGTCTCGGGAGACTGACCTGTGCCCATCTCCTCCGCAGCTGCTCAAAAGTCGAACATCGCCAGTGAACGACGTACAGCCGAGCTCGTGGTCCCGACGCGGCGCCGAGGAGGTCGCGCGAAGTCCCGAAGCATTCTCCGTGACGGGGTGGCTTCGAGCCTCGGCGTACCTACTCATCTCTCTCTCTTTCTCTTTCTCTCTCTATCTATCTATATCTATCTCTATCTCTCTCTCTCTCTCCCCTCATTGGGAAGGGCGTACTCGCGTACTCGCCGCCGTGTCTATGTGTACATTGCGTCTGTGTGTATGTGTGTACGTGTGCGTCTATTCGTCCGTGTATGCGCATATAGGGGTTGTTGCCCGACTGGCTGCCGAAGCAGCTATCTCTCCTGTCCGTAGCCACATCACGGAGAATCATGGGTCGTTCCCCGATACGGTCGACATGGTCCGGCGGTGGGTCCGCGAGGGGGTTGGCGGAGCGCCGTATCCGAGAGGGAGGCTGCGGGAAAGGGTAGGATAGGCAGGTAGGTGGACGGGGGTGGTTGGTTGCCGAGCGCGAACCAACACACCGACGCCAATCCCTAAACGACCGCGAGTCGCGGCGACGAGGCCACGGCGATGGCGTATACCGGGGTTACGTCACGCGAATCCACGGCGTAACACCTCTTCTTCACCTCCGCCACCGCCGCCGCCGCCGCCGTAGTTGGCACGTTGGCCTACACGTCGCGGAACGGAGAGGGAAACTCGGGGTTGGCGAGGGCGGAGGAGAATAGGGTGGGGAATTCCAGCGAGCTAGCGACTAGACTCGGCCCGGGGACTTGCTGGCCGAGTGGCTGACTCGACTATAGCGAGGGTAGCGCTAGTTAGCCATCGGCAACTACGGGGGCGGCTCCCGGATGCCACGTTGTCAGACGGCCGTTACCACTGTGTCATTGGTCGACTCCACCCACGGCGTAGGGGTGAAAGGCGCATAAGGGTGCTGGGCGGCGCCAGGCATACCGGCGACGTTGATTCGACGCCGGGTCACCGGACGCGTCGTCGCCGACCAATCGACAATACGGGATTAGGGTGGCTGACGACGACGTTAACATCTGCCTTCCGGCAGCAGCCAACGCTATTTACCAGCGACACGCCAGCGGCGGCGTTCCTGCTTTTTCCTACGATATAGATATAGATTAATGGAAAGGTAAGACATCGGTGGAAAGTAGGGTAGAGCAGGTAGGGAGAAGAGATACAATCGAATCGATGATTATATTGTCGAAATTAAAATTTTAAGACTCGGAATAATGATGAATTATCTTCTTAAAAATTTAAAATTATTAACCCAGTGAAAAAAACAGGTCGAAAAAACGTCTATTAGATGCCTATTAGATGTCTATTAGATAGACGTCAATTAGATGGACGTCTATTCATGGATGTTTATACGCGTCTAATATACGTCTTTTCGACCTGTCATTTTTCACTGGGATTGAATTGTTTTTATTGAGTTTTTGATAATCGTTTGTGTTAAACTCAGATTCGCTTTGTAGTATGCAAATATGTATGTATGCTTACCAAAGATGCGATTATGGCGCGGGTCTTATTTCGGTGCAGCGCATTATGTCAATATCGATTAGGCCATTTTGTCGGCCTTATGTAATGACACGCCCCTCTCGCGTGCGAGCTATCGTTTATGAGTTGCGCGCGACTTCACGACGATCGATCACGCCCCCTTGACTTTCCGGCTTAATCAGTCGGTAATTACATCTTGATTTCTACATCTCGGCTAGAGAAAAGTTGCCTTCAAGAAAGGAAACTCGGTCGGTAGAATCTCATTTATATTTTTGGCTAAATGTATTTTTACTTTTGACTAAAATTAATTATTTATTCATTGTATAAATCTAACAATTTGATGTCATAGCGATTTTTATTATTATACTATAATTGAAAGTTTATGATCGTAACTTTCTATTTCATTTCGCAAATTGTGAAAAGTCAAAGTCCCACATACATTGGAAGAAAACTTTTATTCAATACAATAATTATTTTATATATCTTGGAATACGACTAAATCAAATAAGTTTTAAAATAACACTAACGACATTAATAGCTATAAAAAAATCATACATTAAATTTCTTATTTTTGAAAAGGAAACAATTGATTCTAATAGCACATAATATTTCTGAGGGCGTAATTTTACAACTTAAGTGGAACGTCAGAAAGTAATACATATTACAACACACTTTGTCGCTCAACAAGCACTGTAATGTGTTCCTAAGACGCCATGTCAGTTAAATGAAATTGATGCAACTGATCTTGCAGCTGTGCGTATCGGATTTGTAACGAGCGTTCTCGTTCCGTCTGTCTGTTCACATCTTCCATTAGCGCGTTTATTCTTCTTGGAATTGCCGCCTCTTCTTGCGTTTCCAAAAACTTAAACGTCGACAGTTCGAGATGCGCTTGCTCTATTTGCTCTCCCAGATCATGTAATTGTTTCGTCAACACCTGTGTCCTCGTCTGTTTAAAAGGCAAAATGACAATTTGAGCGAAAGATTTTCTACATTTTGACTCAGTATTTCTCATAACAGTATTATATCAAAATTTTGAATTACAATATCGAGTTCTATTAACCTGATAACCTCCGGTGAGTACTTTCAGTTTCTTTTCCATTCTCGCAGCGCGTTTAGCTTCCCCCGTCATGTGCATACGATTTTCCTCCAATTTCCTCTCGCACGCCTCCACCCTGTCTTTCTTCGAAGCCAGCGTCGCGCGAGTGTATCGTTTCTGCGTTTCGAGGTACAGAATCTGCGACAAACATTCCTCCCATACGGTGGTGTAGGCGTCTAAGCTCAATTCTCCGTGTGCCATTCCTTCCTTTACAACCGCCATCTCATCGGCTAACACTTTCTTAGCCTAAATTTCAACATTATCATGATAATCAATACGCTTTAACAATGTAAAAAAGAGTTTACAATGTTTTAGACATACGTCAAGAAGTTCGTTTTCTTCGAAAGCATCATATGGATGTTGTTCTAGATAAGCCTGAGCCTGCCCTAATGATATTGCGGCACCCTTTCGATTTGGTTGCGTTGGATTTTGTAGCGCATCGTAGTGCAGCATAGTGATCATTTCTCTCTTTATCAATTCTTCTGCCTAAGAATACGATTTAAATTAATTAAAAAATTGACAATCAGAATAAAACTTTACATATGAGAAATTTGTTACATACTCTCTGCAAATCAGTCAGAGGCGTGTCCATATATGGTCTCAAGATATTCATATTTACATCCGCAGGTCGTGGCAGCTCTCTTTGTATTACTTGCGACCTACGTGCTAATTCCCTTTTCTCTGTAAAAAAAGAAAAATATTCTTCATGTACAAATCAAGCATTTGCATGATCTCAGTTAAGATAACTGAAAAGCAAACGACGTAAACAGTAATCGTTTCGTGAAAAAAAGAAAGAAACAAAAACATTTAAAACACTATACTTCACTAATTGATCAGCAAACTGTAGTTGCTTAAAAAAAAAATAAGTAAAAATGCACTTTTCGTTTCACAAAATAAATTTTCGCATAGCATTATTTAAATTATTCGCCCAAATAGTCAACTTATGTTTAATAAACTTACTTTCTTCTAGTAATTCTTGCTGTTGCCTAGCGTCTATATCGGCTTGGTCCTCGATCATCTCACTTGTAGGCGTGCTAGGTCTTTCCTCGTTTACTTCTCCATCTCCGACATCTATCTCGTAGTCATTACAGGGTGCCGGTAAGGAACTCAATGCCGCGCGTAACGAAGTCTTTGCTTGCGTCTGCATGAGTGGAGTTTCTGAGCCATCCACATTTTCGTCCGGATTTATGTTGAGCTTGTCGCGAACCGGCGTTGCTGCTAGAACTCCGTTTTGCGTTCGCACTGATGCTCCGCCCGGTGTGTTGAACGAATTCGTAGGTGTTCCATCGCTGCGTTGCGATCGGAACGGCGTCGCTAAAATCGTATTCGGTGTTGCGACGACATTACTAGGCGGCACAACGCCAGTAAAATCCGGATTGTTCAGCGGAGTGTTCAAGCCACCTGAAATGTTTACAATATTCAACATGTGAACAGAAAGTTGACAAAGCGCTTTTAAAGTACTATAAAATGTTATAATAATAACCCTTTAACGGTGTGTCCACATGCGTAAGAGCCATGACATTTTGAGCTTCTTGCAATATTCTGTCTGTAGCGGCCGGTGTGCGAGGTGTTGCTGCAGCGTTTGTCGGTAAAGAATAATCGGCTAACAAGCTATCGGACAGCGTAATACCACTCTCAGTAGCAACTTCACGCGCGACCTACAACATTAAGCAATATACATATAAATATCAATACATATTATCTTCCAGTGATTTGTTAAAAAAAGAAGATAAATTGCAAGACATACCTCGGAAGCTCTACCAAGTTTCACCACTTGTTGCAATTCTTGATCAGAGATTTGTGGTTCTGGTAAGACCAATTTACTCCTCTTTTTCACAGGCTCTTCATTGTTGAGCATACCCATTGGGATATCATTTTCTTTACGCTGTTTTAATTTCTGCTTATCTTTCCGACGTTCCATTTCTTCCTTTTCTTGTCGCAGTTCACCATCTAAATGCTGCTGTCTCATTCTAGAAAAATCGATCGCTAAAGGATCAACGTGTTCATTAGATGTATCATAAAAACCGGATGCTGGTCGTTTCTCAAATGGTATTTCCGTATTATAATTGACGCCGCGTTTGCGTTTGTTCTTTTGAGACACTGTAATCCCAGCGGCTCTTAATTCCCTACGCTTCTGCAAAGCCGCTAGCCTACGTGCTTCCTCCAGCTGCTTTTCGCGAGCTTTGCGTTTTGCTTTCTTTCCTTGAGTGTTTGCCAGCCTAGCACGTGCTTCTGACAACATTTCCAATTCTGTGAACAAAATAACATGTTAGAAATGTTATGTTCTGTTACAATATATCTATTTCTATTGTTTATAATAATTATATTTAATGTTATAAAACATTTTAATAATAAAAAGTCAATTCTAAGTTAATAATTTTCACCATCTTACCATCTTCATCCATATCTTTAGGATCGGGTCTTGCTGGTTTCGTCTCTGGATTAGGATCGATTTCACCAGGTTTAAGTTTGCGAGGATCATCAACTGCATCATCTCCTTCTTCCTTTTTTTGTGCTTGATCACTAAAATAAAGCAATAATGATGCAAACCAAAATCAATTGGAATAAATTCTGTTGATCAAAATTTAATATTTTACTAACAGCAAATATTCATATCTTTCTAGACACTGAGCTGCTGTTCGTCCAATAATAGGCGCAATGGTTCTCCATTGTGTAGGCATCAGCTTAGCCATATGCAGTAGTTTTTCATCTTCTTCTCTACTCCATTCAGTTTTCTTTATGCTAGGATCCAACCATTCAAACCATCTTGCCTTGCATTGTTTGGCAGATTTTCTATGTAGTAAAGAAGCAATACGACTCCATTGATTTTTGCCATATTTCATTACAGCTGCTTTCAATATTTCATCCTAAAAATAAAATTTTTTTTGTTTAACTCAGAAATGGCCATAGAGGTCTATTAGATGCGTGAAAAAATTTTTTTGTAGAAAATAATTATAAAAATGATCTTATATGGTCTTTTACGTAAAAAAAAGAAAAATACAATGCTATTCTAGAATTAATCAAATTACTTTTTCACACATTTTAGTTATATGGATAGCATTTAAATAAAAATGTCTTAGGTTATAGATTTTATTCTATAAAATATTTACCTCCGTATTCCGCCAGACACCACCCTTTATCATTATTCGCGGCATTTTTACTGTTATTTATTGTCTTTTATTACGACAATAAGAGTTTTTTCAATCTAATATAAGCAAAAAATTTTTGATCTCACATCTGCAGCAAACCACAGTAAACAAATTGAAACTAATTGCAGTATAGATATGTTACAATCGGAGAAGAACAGACAAGAAGAGATGACTAGGGAAATTTTCTTCTTTTAGTGCTTTTTTGCTAAAAATGCTCACAAGCGTCGCTTGCATCGTTAACGTCTACTTGATTCTATTGGTCGAATATTGGATAAGTTTTTTCATGTGTCGCAAGCATATCTATATATGATTTTTCTTTATACACACGTGATACAAATTATTTGAGGGTTATGTGAATTTACTTCTGTGAATTTACTTCTGTGATATTTGATTCTATAATATATAATTCTATAATATTCAGTATATTATTAGAAAAGGTATATGTTAATAATATGCATGAGTTTTGCACAGTGTATAGTGAATATTATACTATATTTATTTATAAAAAATACATTTATTACATTATTCTTATATTCAGTATATTTTATAAATCTGCAAATTATATCTGCAAGTTTTATATATTAATTTCTTTCCATTTTTAGCAAGATGACAGACAATGATCTTGTTGGATTCGCTGACCCAAATGCGGTCAGCGATAATGATGAAGATAAAGAAATTACTAACATGAAGAAGAAAGTGCCAAAGAAATCCGGAGGATTTCAATCTATGGCTTTGAGTTTTCCAGTATTAAAAGGAATCCTCAAAAGGGGCTATAAATTGCCAACACCTATACAAAGAAAAGTACGTTATTGATAGAAAATGTTTTTAATTTATTTAAGGTTTCAGTATTTAATAATAAAATCTTAATCAATATTAACATAAAATTATTTTTTAATAGACTATACCATTGGCTCTCGAGGGAAGAGATGTGGTAGCAATGGCTAGAACAGGTAGTGGGAAAACTGCTTGCTTTCTAATACCTTTGTTTGAAAAACTAAAGGCAAGACAAGCAAAAACTGGTGCACGTGCCTTGATATTATCACCCACGCGTGAATTAGCATTGCAGACACTAAAATTCACAAAGGAATTGGGGAAATTCACAGGATTACAGCCAGCAGTGGTACTGGGTGGTGATAGTATGGATAATCAGTTCGGTGCGATTCATGGAAATCCTGATATCATTGTAGCCACTCCAGGCAGATTTTTGCATATATGTGTAGAAATGGATCTGCAATTGAAAAATGTTGAATATGTTGTTTTTGATGAAGCTGATAGGTAACAGTTTTTTTTTATTATTTAAAGCATTTGTGTGTTTGTGCCTGATATTAAAAATGAGATTGAATTTTGCAGATTATTTGAGATGGGTTTTGGAGAACAAATACACGAAATTGTAAACAGATTACCAGAATCACGTCAAACACTCTTGTTCTCTGCTACTTTGCCTAAAGTCTTAGTAGATTTTGCAAAAGCTGGTCTAAGCGATCCCATTCTACTTCGTTTGGATGTTGAAAGTAAACTGCCTGAAGAGCTGACGTTATCGTTTATTACGTGTCGTCCTGAAGAGAAATTGGCTGTACTTTTATGTCTGTTAAAAAGGATTATCAAGTCTGATTCACAAATAATTATATTTGCAGAAACTTTGCATCATGTAGAGTATATTCATCAGGTAATTATTCATATAACAATCTTTAAAATTTATTTTGTTACTCAGAATAATTAAATATATATAAAATAATTTTACAGATTTTGGATAAAGCAGGTATCTCTAATACTTTCATTTACTCGAATCTGGATCCTTCCGCGCGTAAAATAAACGCAGCAAAATTTCAAACTGGCAAAGCAAGAGTTCTCGTAGTGACGGATGTTGCTGCTAGAGGAATAGATATACCACATTTAGATTATGTGATTAATTTCAATTTTCCCGCAAAATCTAAACTCTTTGTACACAGAGTAGGTATGTTAATCCATGCAATTATTTTTAATTGGTGATTAAACTATAGGAGTATTTCATCAGCTATAATCATTATTACTTTCCAGGACGATGTGCGCGAGCTGGACGTACTGGAACGGCATATAATATCGTGAGCACAGATGAATATCCTTATCTCCTAGATTTACATCTCTTTCTTGGCCGACCTTTGACGATAATGCCAACTACAGGATCCATTGAAAATGCAGAGTCTGCTGTAGGAAAAATGCCACAAACCATGATAGAAGAGGAACTGGCGGAGCTAATAAATTGGCATAACACATCTACGGATCTTGTAAGTACTTTGGTGTATTGTAAGCAGTTGTCATATTAAATAAATATTTGGTATATCTTTAGACAAATATGCAAAAAGTGTGCAGCAACGCTTATCAACAATACATCAGGTCACGACCAAACGCTTCGGTAGAAAGTAACAGAAGAACCAAAGAACTTCGCATAAACGAAGCCGGAGTTCTACCTCAATATTCTAATGTTCCTTCTGCAACTGTAGATCTAATATCAAGGATGAAAAATTACAGACCGCCGGGAGTGAGTATGACACTTTGCACAGATATCGGAATGTTATATGTCAATTTTAATTTTTCAATCTTACTTGAAATAGACGGTATTTGAGATTGGTACGAAAACAAATTCAACCGACTACCAGGCGATGAAGACGAAACGAACGTTTCATAAGGAGAATATCCTTAATTTTCACAAAAAGCTGGAAAAACGTGAAACCGATAAAATTAATGCAGCATCAGGTAGATATTACAATAATAAGAATAAGAATATACTGAATATATGTAGCAATAATGACATATTTGCTCCAATCTTCATAGAATTGCCTCAAAAAGTTGATCTGCCATCCAGTAATGCTGAAGAAATTAATGCTACATTTAGGAGAGTGATAGTTCCAAAGAAGAAGAGTAGTGATGAGCTATATAAAATTTCAAAGAAGAAAAGACGTGTAGTGAAACGGGATGAAGAATATTATATACCTTATTCCGCATCAGACAAATATACGGAAGATGGGTAAGAATTATTAGTTCTATTTCGATTTTTGGGATATTCTTTCTTTCTTCCAAAATTATTCTTATAACGTATTTTAACTTTTCGATTATTATTTTTATTCGATGTTTTACCTTGCAGTTTGGCGGTTAACACATTTGCCACAGAAGCTGATAAAGCACAGATGGATTTAACGGCAGACACTGAAGAGGGCCGACATCTTCAGACCCAATTAAAAAAATGGGACCGAAAGAAGAAGAAAATGGTTACCATCGATAAGGTATATATATTGCTTTCATATATAATTTTTACTTAATCTAAGAAATGGAATTTGCTATAAATTTAAATGTTGTGCAACAGGATCCGAAAGCGAAAAAAATACGTACCGAATCGGGTGTATGGATACCTGCTACGTATAAAACAAATCGCTACAGCATGTGGAAAGAGAAGTCTAAAATTAATGAAGATGTTAGCGAAGACGATAGTGAAGAAGAATCTCCACAAATGCAAAATTGTAAGTCAATATCGTTACATCTATCTTAAAAACTTATTTAAACATATTATATAAATATTAATTATGCTTTTTTTTATTTATATCATGTGTAAAATTTATTTAAATTATACTTAAAATATGATACATACTTCGTTTACATTCCAGTGCGGACCGCAGCAAACACGCACTGGGCGCGGCACAACCAGAAGCTTAAAGAAAAAGTAAAAACAAAGAACGAGCTGAAGAGACCCGAGCAAATCTTAAAAGCGCGCAAGCTGCTTGAGAGCAAGCGCAGAAGACATGGCGGAAAAAGAAATAAAAGTCAGAAGAATAATAAACGGAAACGTTAAAACATTTTTAACATTCAAAATACATAATTCAAATCATACTTTGTGTATCCTTTATTTCAAATGATCTAAGGACATGTTATAATAACAGTCTGGTTTTTTGTAATTAAGAACAACATGATTTTAAAGAAATAAAAATATATAAATTTTGATATAATTTGATATATAAATTTTGCATATATATGACATAATAATGTATATATATATATATTATGTATGTGGCGCGAACACGACGCATCAGCTAAAAATAACCGTGAATGGATCGATAATATTTCTCGAAAGCACAGTGACCTTACAAGTGAGCGTTATATGATTTAGGACGTTTGGCCTTGCACCATCATCATAACATAGTGGATGCGTTACACAATTGTGGGGTCTCCTATAGGCACGGTATTACGAAGACTCGCTAGACCCGTTTTTACGAGAAGCCTTAAGAAATTTCTGCGTCATCGAGGAACGCGCAACTTCTTACTCGCGATATAAGCTGCGAAGAACGCGCTGATACGATCGTAAATTCTATCGAATTAACCGTCGACGGAAATTTATCTCTCAGCGCGGTGAAAATCATGAGACATTTGCATGACGAAGCAGATGATCTGCATGCACAACCAGCTTCCTCGAGAGCAATGTTTGGCTGCTCTCCACCGAAACGTATCTTAGGAAAGTTTTCAGCGCGTTGACGTTTTACAGTCCCGTGACATCGATATCGCGATAGGTATTCCGCAATGTCAATCGGTATCTCTAATTACTGAAATGTCACGTGTAATAGCATTCGTAACAAGTAGATACGAGTATCTTTCAATCACCTAAAATATATTATCAGGTCACATTGTTGCTACCTACTGCGTGAGTAATGTCCTTCGATAATCTAAGAACATTTCTGCCGATATGTAGAGACTATTTCAGAGGCCTATAACAAATAAAAAATTAGGTACAATGTAAAGTAATTGACATCCATCTTCGGTAAACAGCATTGGCTATTTACGGTTAGTTAGCGCTGAGCATGGTCGATTAACTTTTCTATCTGTGTCATAACAACCCCGTCCTTTCTCCCTTTATATGCTTATGCCCTGGCTGTGATCTAGAAAGCAACACGGTGCGGCGTAAAACAAGTGCAGCAAGATTGTTGATGCAGTCGGATCTAAAAAAAACCCGTGTTGCTTTAATTTTAATTTCCGAAGCCAATGCATTCGATAGAATCTCGCAACATAATTTGTATTTTTTCTTTCTGGCGTCGCCCAAGTTGTTAAGATACCATTTTAGGCTTTATCAGAGGGAGACGGAGACGCGATTGCGATAGCCTTCGTGATGACCAGCAATGTTTTCCTTTTCTCTCGCTCTTTCCTCTCCCTTCCATCGTATTCTCGCCTTGTTTCTCTCTCTTTCTCGCTCCCTCTCCTTGTCTCTGTCTGTCTACCCGCAATGTTGCAATTTCACGTCATTTAGACGCGTCTAGTTCATCTATTCGTCTTCTCTGAGCGCGGTATTCGAGCTCGACCTTCCCCTACTCGAATGCTTCTAACTCGGAACGAGAAGAACATCTGTGCTGTTACAATAACGCGGCTTGCGGTCGACCCTCCGGCCCAAAATAGCGATTATTATGATAGAGCATCTGCAGTGCAGGGACGGAGGGGACGAGGAGAACTCTCGGCGAAGTACGGGAAAAAGTACGTCGAACGGCGAGTTTACTGGCGAGGAATACCGTGTATTTTTGGCCGTGCGTGCCGCAATGCACGACCGCGTACACGCTCGTGTCTCTCTAATTTTCTGACGAATAATGTGCGTGTAGCACAGTGGAACGCGGTCGTCGCGCACCATAATTACGCGTTTCGCCCGAAAACACGTGGAAATTGGTACAAGGTCTCTTCCTCTCCTCTCGCGATTTTGAGAAGTCGCAGATCTATTTTTGCCTCAATTACTCTATGCATCATTTGTGAATTATGGGCATTAGCGGCAGATTACGATACAACTATTACGTATGAATAATTGCTTGGATTTTGTGTAACAAGAATCCTTCATTCTGTAAAAAAACGAAATTTATTTAAAAACTTAAACATTGTAATAATATATTATTAAAAATTTTTTTTATATTTATAAGTTTCATTAGATCTATAAAAATACCACATCAGAATATTAATCAGAGTACCGTAAAGCTGATATACAGGATGTTCCATTAATATTGAGAATTGAAAAATTGCATTTTCTCCGACAATCCTTCGATTTACGGTATTGTTGGTATTTCATTTTGTAACTACAGTCAACATTAATTACGCTAATAAAGGAATTTGAAGTATAATAAAATTCCATTGGGGTAATAACAATTCAACGTCGTAACAATGCGTGATTCACGATGATAAGTGAATTGATATGCTCGTCTGTTATCAAGCTTCCATAGGCCGTATCGCATCTTCAATCTTCTCGTATTCTTTCGAATACGAACGAGGTATGCGAGAAAACAAACATACGCTTGGTGGTGGTCACTTTACTACGTACACATTGCAACGCGCTGCGAGAATCACGTGTCGCGCGTCTACCGCCCGTTATCCGCTCCCTCGACATCGGTATGTGCGACATTAATTCATACGCAACATACACACGGACGTGCTCTCATTCTTACGTCGGCGTTTCCAGCCGGCGACGATATCGTCGACGGCGGCAATCACGGGAAGGAACAGTGGCGTAACAGAGGATGGGCAAAACGGATTCAGGATCTCTGCAACAAGTATACGATCAAGTTTTGTTTTTCGATAACTGGCTCACATGTCGGTTTATTTAAAATATTTAAATATTTAAATATTTGTAATCGTAATTCTGCTCTATTGCTATTTTATTGGTATTTATGTAAATTTAGACCTTTTAAATATATTTTTTTTTAATTTAATAGATCTAGAAGAAAAAACCAAGAAACTTACGCATTCATCCTTGTATATCCAAAATTCTTTAGTTTTGTTGTGAAAAGAAATATTGCTAAACCTTCAAATAGCAACTGCAATTTAAAAATGAGCGAAAAAGTGAGTTTTATTGTACAATTCCGACACGCACGTGTGACTTTAAAAGTCTGACTTACTTAGCCCATTGTATTGTTTGAGGTCCCTTTTGCAGGTCAGTCTTGTGCAGTTCATTTCCGTCAATTTTATCGCATTAAACTGATATAATTTTTTTAGTATCTAGAAAAGAAAAGTATTTTATATTCTAGAACAAGCTTTCTAAGAATTAGAAAGAGAAAGTGTACCGTTATTTAAAAAACCTATTAAATATCGTGATCATATAATTGCGATGATTACCAACACGTGATTTTTATTTTCTCAATACAAAACATCAATGAATAATTGTGAAGATAAATCTGTGATTCCAAATAAAAATAGACACAATAGGCATCATTAACGCCTTTCACTTCCGTTTGGCATTTTCGAACACCTACGTACAAAATGCAAATATAATATTATACGATTTATAAACATAAAATTAAACAAGATATAAGATAAGTGTTTAAAAATAATACCATGCTGATGTTGCTTTCGAAATAAGCAAGCGTAACGTATCGATTTTTGCGCATCGCAAACAAATGAGTCAGCGTGAATGCGTGCAAATTGTACCATGAACACTTGCGATCAGAAACCCATTAATTCTTCATATAGCGTACGATACACATTAATTACGCATGATATCACGGGCGATAGTATTTACGGTTAATGCAGAGGCATGCATGACTGTTCCAAACAAACATACGTCATACATAATCCGGCGACGATGCACAACGTCATAGCTCACCGAATCACATCTACATTGAATGCAGCTTATTTCTGCAAATTATGATGACTATACTGTGCTTCTAAAAGAAAAAAAGAATACATTTTTCATAATTTATAATCATAGTTGTATTTTATAATAATAGGTTTGTACTGGATTGGATTATTATTTTTTTGTCAACATTTTTTAAATATTGCTTACATATTTAAACATGTTTACAAAAATTTATTGGGAGGAGTTTAGTGTGCAAATATAAAATATTCGTGCAAACAAAAAAGTTAATTTAAATGTGTAAAAAGCGAAATTAAAAAAATCAGCGTCAACATATTTGCATCGACATTTGTGCAAACATGTTTTAATTATATGTGAATAAATCATAATTTTTATTAAAAGGAAAGTAAAGGAAGGAAGTTATATACTTATTTTACTGGTATTTTTAACATTGTGATTATGTTCACATATTTAACACAGAGAAAATCTATATTTTTGAATAAATTTTTAATCAACTCAGAATTTATTTTTTTGTCAGCAATAACATTAATAGAATTATTATAATTTTTCAAATGTTTAATATATAACTTTTAATTAAAGTTTTGTTGAAGTATACATACTTACAATCGACGGAAAAAATACTTAGTTATCCGTTTGCAGTTTCGAAAGTTTGTTCGGTGGAAACAATATTTTTGCGCCATATGTGTGTCCTTTCATGAATAAAAAAAATAGCATCTTCAATAATCCGCAAGTATACGAGCACGCGAGAACTCGCGTTGCGCGAGGTACGAAAGTTTCGTGATCTGCTCTGATTGCATACGTGCGAGGCTCAAATCGAGCAACGCCATCGCTGCCCGCGCTGAAGGCCGCGAAGAAAGCAAAAGGCCCGTGCTATTTGAAAGGAAAGTAGCATGCGGATCCGTGCGCCATGGCTACTTTTGGAGCAGCACCTAGTGCTTATAACTACCTGGCCTCCGGCCTCCTCGCTATAGCTAGGCCATGCGTCGCCGGGTGCAGCTGCACTCGCGGCTGTGCGACCTTTTCCATTCGAGTAGTTATTCGTTCGGCATCGCTGCCAACCTAAACACGAGATGTTAACACTTTGACTGCGGAGCCATTTATTATTCAGGTACGGCGTCATAGATAAAAAAATTTGAATCTGAAGAATTGCTTGGAAAGGAATTATTAATTATCGCGATTGTTCGCAGTAAAATAAAAAATATTTTTATATACGAAAGTCCTTTCTTCACACAGAGTGCAAAATGAACTAAAAAAGAAATTTATTTTAAAACGCGTATCGTAATAGTATTTTATATTTTAGTACGTTTATCTTTAAGTAAGAGATATAAATCATTGAGATTAATGTTTGTCAGATAAGTCAATTTTGGTGCAAGTACAAAGTTTAATATAGTGGTAATTGTTTTTTATTATTGTTTTTGTATATATATATATATATATATCGAGAGAAAGAGAGAGAGAGAGAGCGTTCATCTTTTTTTATTTTGTTTATGAAAATTTTATGTTGTTATCCTCTTTTGTCGTAAATATAAATGCTAATTCAGCCGAATCTGTGAGATATATGACTGTCCAACGTACAATTTTCTTATCTCGATGCTGTCATCCGTTCGGTTGATAGCGTCGGCTTACAACTCAGCACCGTCATCGTCTCTCCGCCGAACAATGCTGGAGTAAAGTGACAATGAGATGAAACGCTGTCAATACGCCAGTGAACATTGCTAGCACTATGATATAATAGCCGCCGCCGTGGAATTATGTACGCCTCTTGAGAAGACGATAAAATCGTCTTTTATTACGTTAGAGTGATTTAAACAATCATTATTTTTTTAAAAACAACTTTAAATTTGCCATTGCATACGCAATAATATAAATGATTGAAATATGAATATTTTAGAAGAAGATTCTTACCTATTTGTGTGTAAATAATCGATTTATTTGTTTGCGACACATCTATCTAAAGACGCGCAAGTATTTTAACACATGACACATTCAAGTCAACTTGAGTGTTTCACGCTAAAATGAAAATATATTTCATTATCAGCGGTCACATTTCTAAGGCTGAAAGCAATGAATCATTGAATTACTCATACACAAATTAATTCTTCAACCTTCATTGAACCTACGAATATCTTATTTCACGAATTTGAAAATACGAGCTTGAAAATACATTGAGAAATAATAATATTTTGAAAAACCCATGAATAAGTCCATTTAATATCTTGATGATAATAAAAGAATTATCTTTGAATTATCTTTATCATTGAAGCATATTTGTCATCATTTCTTTATCTTTACGAATAGTGTTTTGTAACACAAAGTCTAACTCAGATCCAAACGCGTTCTATAATCTTGAATCGATCGGAAACTAGATCAATCATTTTTCGCGCGATCCGAAAAGGCCAATTGAATTCTAAAGTGCGAATTGAGGAGTCGCGGGGCTCGCAGATCCGCTCGTACGTTCCTGGGCGATGGTTAGAAGTCCAGAATTCGCGTGCGCGGGGTTGGCAGCAGTGCGCCGCCGAGTCAGTGCTGAATGCGTCGTGCGACAAACAACAACGTCGCGAGCAGCCGTCATCGGTAGTCGTCGCTTCGCAGCATCGAACACGTCAAGTAGCGCGTACGCGCGAGGAGGTTCGCGAGCCAACCCGTGCACCGTCGAGTGTGTCATCGCGTAGGGTGCATTATCCGTCCGTCTGTCCGTCGTTAATCCGTCGATCGCTGGGACGATGTATCGCGCGCATCACGTCCGCGACGGAGCGATCGACGCGCGTTGTTGGGCGTAGCCGGCGGCAGCGAGAAACGGCGAGGAGCGTGCGTGTGTGACACCGACCAAAGGAAGGTCTGCTCGACGTCGGAGCTGCCATTGCCGTGCGAGCTGGTGCGATCCCGTCCTCGTGTCCGGGTGCTTTTGGTGTTCTCGGTGCGCTCGCACCCACGGTCGTCCCGTCGTACCACGTCGCGCAGGAGAAAGAGACAGACGGTTCTTCGCCTCTTCCGTTCGTCCTTCTCTCTCTCTTTCTTTCTCTCTCTCTCTCTCTCGTTCACCGTCCCGGCCGCTTTCCAGCCCGGCCGCGGTAGTATCACTGCGCGTCGTCGCCGTGAAATTCAACGCACCTGGAAGGCAGAGGATCGAACGAGGCGGGCCAGGCATGCCGTCGGTAGCGTCGTAGCTCCACGAGTGAGAGTCCACGGATTCGAGCGTGAGGTGAGTGAGTGTCAAACTGTTTGACGTTTACGGCGCGGCAATTGATTCCCCCGCGAGGGATTGCGCCGCGACGGCGACCGGTGGCGTGTGTCGCACGAGGGGGTGGTGGATTCTCCAGCATTGTGTCAACACGCAGACCCGGGTTCGGACAGGAAGCTCGCTCTCGCGCACAACGGCACACCCATGTCGCTGCGCGAGTGAGCGAGCGAGCGAGCGAGCGAGCGAGCGAGCGAATGTACGAGCGTGCGAGCGGACGCTCGACGAGCGCGCGGCGCGGAGCGGCGTGTCGATGCGGCGGCGGTGCCAGGAGACGCTCGCGCGGCGCGGCGAGGCGGAGAGGCGGTGCATGTGCATAGATCGAAATCGCGTAAGATCGCCGTGGATTCTGCGTAGCGAGAAAAGAGACACGCGATGATTATAACTCGTTAACCCGCGAAGTCCGCTTGAGCGCCATGCTCAAGAACTTGCGAGCGAGTGGCATCAGACTGCGACGCGGTGAACTTACGAGAATGAATCTTGCGTATCTTTATTGACAATGTAACGGATTGTTTTAAGGAAATTTATAATTTTTATTGTCTCTATTTATCCGCCCGTGTCACGCTTATCTCAGCGTCATAATAATCCTAATTAAGCCTGCATTCCGGACATACATCGAAATACGCTGGTGTAATTTGTGTTCAGAAGTTCTAGATATCTCGTCGCTAGATACGTGTGATAACAATCTCTATGTTTACTCGTCGCAATAAGGTCGTAACAATTGGCGCACAGACGGTGTCTGTAGCCTGAAAAACTGAATTCATCGCGATTGCGTCGAGCTGCAGTGCTCGGGTATAACGAAGTTAGCGATTAGCGCTGACTTGGCGATTCGCTGTTCTGCTTACTAATTACATTCAAATGGTCAGCCTCGCTCAATGCGAACGGGCGGCATAGGATTCTAGAACCAGTCTCGTGATAGCATGTTTGATGGATATGAGAAGTAGTCGGTGTCACGTGCACGATGAATGAATGATAATGACAGTGGTAATGGAAATGCCAAATGGCTTGGGTAATTTGTAGTTGCTCGATGCCGAACACCGGACTTCGATGTTTACTATATCAGAAACGGGAACGAGAAGTCTGCCGCTGTGATTCATATTAAGGAACCGTGGGCGACGGTCGTGGAAGAATTCCACGCTTGCGAAGATCTTGGATGTCGACGTTCATGTTTTGCGAAGACCATCGGAAATGTCACGAGGCCAGACGGGATTCACGAGGCGCGTCTCATTCGAAAGAATTTTTCGCTGAAAGAATTTCACGCCGTCGTCGCGCAGAAGACAAATTCAAATGAGCGGTCAGATATTATTGCCGCAGCTTGAAAAATACGGATAAAAATTTAAAACTTCGCAACATTTTGAGATATGATATCTAATTAAGACTTATAATTAGGCTTTCTTATCTATTTCAGTTCATACAATTGTAGTCTTATGTACTTTTTGTTATCTATTCGATATTTCGCATACAGTTTTATACATCTATTTTATGTCAGTCGCATTTAAAGCACTCTTTCGTCACGAGATATTAATATAAACACTCAACAAGCGTTTTGCGTTTCTTCGCGATTGCATCGCGTTGTCGCGGGAAGAGCTTTGCAAGTTTTTAGATTACGAGAAAATCTCCTGAAATCTCTTCGACGCGTTTTGGCTCGCTTTGTGTTCGCCGCGATGTGCGTCCAACTTTCTAGTACGAGTTTCACGCTCACGCGCCGCACGCGTGGAGGCGCGCTTGTAAAAAGTCATCGAATTCCTTTGATTATTGGCGCCGTTTATTAGATCATCAACAGAGTTGTTTGGATTCGCATTCAAGTTCGCCTCGGCGTTCGCTACGCAGAGATGGCCTTTTGAAAAGGAATATTGTATACATATCTTTTTCAATTAAGTATCTATTCTCAACACAGTTCTGACATTACGATAATTATCCATAAAAAGTATTGATATCGATAGTTATCACATGGTCAAGAAACTCTAATTGTAGCGCGTCAAATTTCCCTTTTAAAGTTTGCCACCAAGCGAATCGGAATGCGTCACAATTGCGATATATTGTTTAAATTAAAAATTATTATTTCTATGTAAATATGCATGGTGCAAATCAACGTAACGCGTATAATATTGTATGCCAAATAGTAGTGGAAAATCTTAGTTATTGCAAAATCTCCGAAATCTTGCGCGAATGTAAAATTTAACGTAATATAATTGCGGACGATGAAAGTTTATTGGGAGTCGATTGTTTCAAGATATATAACGTGTCGACATCCGGTATCGGCAAGTGAACGGCAATACGGTCGATTCAAATACAAGCCAGAATATTAAGATGTGTACATGTAATACATGCATATACGTAAGGATATCATTTCATCAGGTATTATTTTATATTCCACTTGTCTTTTGCGTTCGATACTTTCGAATTTATTTTCAAAAAATAGGATAGTTCTGTTCGATCTACGAGTACATAAAAGGTGCACGCTCCGACGGATGTGTCTAGTGCGGGGGCTAGTGCACTCCTTTTTTGTGCGTTGCTTCGCAATTTCGGAATCGCGAATGCGTGTTCGTAACGTCGAGTACGCGCCGGCACCGAAGCAGATCGGTGAAAGCATATGGTTCCACATGTGTCGCGAGTTTCGAGTCGACGGACTGTACGGTGAATTTTGCAACGCGCAACCGATCCGTATGTCGAGATAGAAACCTCGGTTCCGCACCGTAACACCTGCGCCGCAATCTTTAAAATACTACGCCAGTTTTCGTCACGTGAAGAATTTTTCGTGTCCATCATTTTGATGTGTGCAATAAACACGAGGAAATATTCATTCGATAACTAATATTTTTGAAATAATCGACAAGTTTTAACCGAAAGAGCATCGGCTAAGAAATGATTGAGTTTATTGGCAGCATGTTTGTGTTATTAAAATTAATAAGAATTAATTAAAAGCGGTGATTTAATATTTTAAGTAACATTTACATTGTGTTTAACATTTTGATTGCCATTAATCTTGTGTGAATTCTGTATGGATCATGCAATTTATTTCACAGCTTTTGCGAGTCTCGAAATTGATGTGTAATTGATTTGAAAATTTGCGAAGTCGCGAACAATCGTTGATTGCAGCTTTTCGACGTGACTTGGACGTGACGCGTGATTTGTATTTACGTTCGATGCGCACAAAAGTCCACGGAACGGAATTGAAGCAGAATGGAGTATAGTCTGTTTCCGCGTGGAAGCGCTTGTTCGTAACTTTCATGTAACTAATCGAGTATTATACCGCCTTTTGTACTCGCATTTACCCGCGGGATTATCCCGCGTGGAATGGAACGTATTGTAAACAGTGGCAGGAAGATCCTAGAAAGTGTTCGAACTGATAAAAAGTCGCACTTTCTAAACGCCTATATTACGGTATCGCGACTTTTTCTCTCCGATACTGTTGCAACGCGTGGCTATTTCGCGAATCGAGCGACCTTTTGTTAATCTTTTCAAATGTTACTTAAACACGTACATTTGTTCTCATAATGTATGACCGCTTCCGATAATATCGGTTAACTTTAATGGTCATTTAATTGCTCTCTTCATGAAGAGAGATTTATTTTCGAGTTTATTAGCTCATATTCGTATCTAAAAAAAACTGTGACGCTTAAATTCAGATACATGTGTTTCATAATTAATGACCAGTTTCAATTGTTAACGACCGTTTAATTCTTCCGCTAAAGCGAGTTATCTTCAAGTTGTTTTATATCTCGAGATTAAAATACAATCGAGATTATTTCTTAAAAAGCGAATTTTGCAACAATCTGAATTGAAAAGGCTTTGCAAAAATAAACTTTAATTAATTGGGGCGACATTTCTGTGGACGGATTCTGAAAGTGGAAGAGAACGATAACTCGATGCCACTCCGGTTTGGATTCTCGCTCGAAGAGAAATTCCAATCGCATATTATCTGGGCTCCGAAGCGGCACGATTGATCTTTCAGCATATATACGGTTTCCGGTGATTTCGCGGCATAAACAGCCGAGAAATGCTCCCGCGTTCTTTCCGCGGCACGATTCATTATATAATCAGTCGATTTCGCAGTGCACAAAGCCGAAAGTTTCCGTTGTGTATATTAATTAAAGATACGCCATTCTTCGCGATACCGTCTTCCCTTATCACGGCATTCGACACGCACGACTGATAGCGGCGACGCACGCATGTTATTCGAACGTGTTCCTCTTCTGTCAGCGACTGTCGTTGACGCTACCGCTCTGATTAATGCACAGTTTTCGTGCCACGAGTTGTCGAGATTGTGCGCGAAAAATGATATCGTCTGCTGTTATCGGGCCACGCGGCCAAAAATAATGGAGAGTGCCGGAAATACATCGTGTCTATCTCTCGACTCGCTTTTCAGTCTCGTAGTTCTGTCACGCCAACTATTGACTTTCTTCGTGCTGGCTTTTCCACGTGTCGCATAATAATTGTAGAAGCCATGTTTAACATTGATTAAGATCTCTGACTTTATTACGACATTACTGTTTTTTCATGTCGCGAGTCAATTTATCATGACATGATTATCAAATAATCGTCACATTATTATATCGCGACATGCCATATTATAAATACGTCATTCGTACGTCAGGTTTGTTTATATTTTCTTCTATCTTTAATATTCAGTCAAGTCGTAAATAATTCCCGTTTTGTAAGATAAGTATTTATTACCGCAAGGGGAAGTTATTTATAGCGTAATATTTTTCGACGGAATCGCATATCCTCGCAAGTTTTAATATAAAAACGTCGCGACGTATGTGCTTTCCGTGCTGTATTCCAGCCGCGTGCATTCGACGCTTCCATGAGAAACGAGACACGTCGCTGATACCGACTTATTGCATTTTGCAGGTGAAGTCCCAGCATGGCCAGCAGATGACTGTTAGCCGAGCCGGTGCTCGTACGCGACTCTAATATGAGCGAAGTGGTGGCAGTGACGCCGACTGGTGGACCCACGCGCCAGGAAAGCGTGACACACATCAAGCGGCACAAACTGGCCAACTGTAATGTTCCTCTCGTGCACGGCCGGCCGAATCCGTCGATCAGTCCACGCAGCAGACTGAGCACGCATCAACGAAACCACAGTTTGGACTTCAGGTATATTTTCATTTCGGCCGCTCCTGTCATCTCGCGGCGTCTCCCGCTTCCCGAGTGTCCGCGGGCCACTTTGCGACACGCGCGCGAGTTATTTTGCGAGCCGTGACGTCTCCATGTTTCCTGGCACTTGTTGAATAAGCGATCGTAAATTCATTTGACGTATTACGCACACGGTTATGCGATCGGTCATCTTCGATGAAGTCGATGAGGAAAAGATGTGGAAGTTGTAGCATAAATTGAGAAATATACGCAAGGATATTTAAATTGGCCGTTGACAGCGGCCGCGAAGACGTCATCAATATTAATAACCGCTGCACCGCATAATCGCAACCGCGCGCGGACTGTCGTATCTATTTTCTTCATTCGACGTGCCATTCGCAGCAGCGAACTGGAAACTGGAGCCCAAGTTGCGTATACACAATTCGGCTAACGTACGCGAGATGCCAAAGGTTAAAATTAAGTTATTGACCCAAAATGGATTCGAATAAATGCGCAGTTTAAATATGATAAAAAAGGATAGAAGATTAATAATATAGATAAAAGTTAATTTTTTTCTTCCGGCGGGATCTTTTAACGCAAAGCGAAAAGCAATATGTATTTACAAAATAAAGAATTATGCGGCAATGATAACAAAAAACAATAACAAAATAACAAGCAACGGCAAAGCAATTATGATGAGTGATAGCGATAAGATACTAAATGTATATTTAAAAAATAGGCTAAAGAAAAAAAAGTATAGACTAGAAAAGAATATTGATAGCATGAAATATGTGATAAGATTAAGAAAATCATATAAATCTGAAATCTGAAATATAAATCTGAAATCTTTATATAAAATTTTTTATATTTTTTTTTAATTCTTTGTATGCATTTAAAAATTAAGTGTTCAATTTAATAACAATATGCTGTTTGAACAAATCTTTCGGCCATTAGTGATAAAATTTATGGATTATTTCCAGATCAATGGGTATCCTACTACCACCGGTGCCTCAGGCGACCGCGACGACGTTGACGCATCATCATAGGAACCGAAGTCTGGATTCGGCTCTCCAACGGATTCCAGAAGTCGACGTGACGCCGAGTCCGGAGTGTGAGAATCCCGTTCCTTCATCGGTCCCTAAAACGGCGACGGTATCGCCGTCATCATCGTCGTCGTCGTCGTCGTCATCATCGTCATCATCGTCGTCGGGGCCATGCGAAAAGGGGACGCGCACCGCGCGAGAACGCGAGGATCTGGCCAGTCTTGGTTCCGACGACTCTGGCATATTGTGCGGCTCCGATAGCGGCTCGAGCGACGCCACCAATGCGCCCGCCACTCGAGAGTCCAGCGTGGATCATCTGCACAGCCGCGAAAGCCTCGACTCGTCCGTTTCGCAGCCAGGCGACGTGTGCTTGGTCGATGTAGTGGACGGTGTGGAGAACGGTGCCGGTGTGGTGTCGGTGTCAATGTCGGTGCCGGTGTCGCCCGTGGAACTGTCGACGCGTCTCAGTGACAATGCAGCGTCTCCCGTGTCCCTCAAGGACGAGACCAACAGTGATCGTCCGCGGCGCAGCGACGCGAACGATGACGAACGTTGCTTACAGGAGCCACGAATTAATGTGAGCGCGCGAGAGCGCGCGGACAGTCCGCATCCCGATTATCAGCATCAGGAACGCGCCGAAATCTATCAAGGCGCTATGCAAGTGGTGGCGTTGCCGGTATCCATGGCCGATACGAGCCAGAGCGAGTTGACCGGCGCGGCCATGACCCTCTGCTGCGGCACGACTGCGACGCAGCAGCAAGAAGCCGAGACGGTGAAGAAGCAACCGGACATCATCCGCCGGCAGCAGGAGACGAAGCAGCCGAAACCGTCGGAAGGCTGTCTTCTGCGGCTCTTCGAGAGTCAGATATTCGACATGTCCATGGCTATTTCCTATTTATTCAATTCCAAAGAACCCGGCGTCCAGAGTTACCTAGGTATAAGAAACATTTAAAATTATTTTTGATCGTTTTTATTATTTTTTAAATCTTATTTTTTAGCATTTATCACTTTTGAATTGTTCATTATTTTTACCATTGGTTTTTAAATTTTATCGATAGAGACATTGAGAAATAATAATCTCTTAATAAATACGACATGTTTCGTAGGTAACAAGATGTTCAGTTTTCCGGATAACGATGTGGACTTTTATTTACCACAATTAGTTGTGATGTACATACAGCTTCATGATGTAACAGAGGTCCTTTATCCATATCTTGTCTATAGGTAAATATAGAACTCACGTGTTAAGAGATCGCTTGATTGCGCGTTTTAAAAATTGCAATGATAAAATTTGGATAGATTGAAACAAATCAATTATCTTGCAGGTGTAGACAGTCGGCAGATTTCTCGTTAAAATGTGCCTGGCTGCTAGACGCGTACAGCTCCGATGCTCATTTGCCGTCAAAGAAGAAGTCTCATGGGACCAAATTAAAAAATCTTATCCTGTCAGATGAACTCAGGTAGGAGCAATAAATAAGCGCCTCAGTGACGAAAGTAATAATTGAAGTAATGAGAATTATGAGCTTTCGGCAGATTAATAGAATAAATTGCACGTAGATTTAAAATTTAGAGGGCTATTTAATTTCTAAACGCCTCACATTTCAGGCCAAAGGGAAATGAGGGTCGAAAGCAGCGTGTCGCTGGGTTGCAAGTTCCTGCGCCATCACCATTGCCCTCGACGCAAAATCTTACGTCACCGAACAAGAAAACCCACCAAAGATCTCAGTCCGACGCCACTGGATTGTTCCAGACTATACGCCGTAGTCATTCCGGTAATTATTTCAATTAATTTGCATTTTAAAAAAATGATAAATTACAATAATTTTGATTGTTCTAATGAGCGTTTAATTTTTCTTTACATATCCTTCAAAAGGTATAATAAATAAAGTAAGTCTTGGGGACCTGAGCTCTGGTCGAGCGTTTGACAACGGCTGTACCTGCTTTTATTCCTGCCAAGGTGTGGTGAACGATCTGCGAGGCCAAAAAACCGACTGTTTCTGCAATGTGAGTGATTTACTTTGTAACAAAACAGTAGCTGTTATTACTTGAAAAGAGACATCAGTGTAAAACTTGAACTCTCGCAGGCACCTCGGCTCGCGCCAGAACTCGAATTTATTCAAGCGTTAATATCAATTGGTAAATTGCTCGGAACTATCCCAACAAAGGAAAGTAAAACCGTTCAATTAGTGGCGGAGCTCAATACGCTTAATTTGAATCTCCCCGCGAGGGTGTGGCTTCCTTTGCACAGCACGATACCGCATCATATCGTGCGAGTTCCGCCACAATACGCCGCCGTTCTCAACAGCAAGGACAAGGTATTTACATACCATTTCGTTTGCATTGTATCTCAGATTCCCCGCAAAATTCATTGTTTGAATATGGACTGTTATGTTGGTATCATTGCAGGCGCCCTATATAATATATGTGGAGGTATTAGAAGTGGAGGATTTATACACGTCACCCGTGCCGACGAAAATTATGGGTAGTTCGTTGAGGCACACCAAGTCTGAGGAGAATTTAACCGGCGGCGAGCAGTCCAACATATCCACTTCCGATAGTCAGCAAAACTCGGCGGTACGGCAGACTCCGGTGAAAAATATCTCGCCTTACGCCGTTAGAAATACAGACGTGGCATTTAGTTTTCCCGACGACGATCCTAATGATTGTTGGAGTCAGGAGGATGACGAGATTACACAACAGGTACGTTTTCTATTCGCGCAATCGTATATTTGCATTTCCGATTTCTGTTATAACTTTCCGTTTGTTTCAGTATTTACAGCTTCGCAAGCCGAAAGATCGGGATACCATATCGCAATCGAGCCAAGAATCGTCCGACAGCAGAGAGCCGATCTTCGTGCCGGGCGACATCAAGAGAAGATTGAGTGAAATGGCAGCTACGCCGAGCGCGACTTTCAACCACGATCCCGAGGACCCGTCAGCGGCGGTTCTCAAGGAACCATGGGAGCAGAAGCAACGACGTATAAGAGCTTCCAGCCCGTACGGGCATTTGGCATCTTGGAGATTACTCGCGGTAATTGTGAAATGCGGCGATGACCTCCGGCAAGAACTTCTCGCCTCGCAGCTGCTCTCGATGTTGCAAAAGATTTGGCAAGAGGAACAATTGCCTCTCTGGGTACGACCGTACAAGTAAGTATAACGAGTTGCTATTGGAAAATCTCGTCGGAGCGTAAAATTAATGGTTAAAAAAGTTTCATAAAAAGTAATTGCAAAATTTAATTAATTAATTAAATAATAAATTAATTAATTTTAATAAAAAATAAAATCATTGGAGATACAAAGTTATTAAGCGTTTAAATGTTAAAAATATTTCATAAAAATTTATTGTATTAAAGTAATTATTATCGAATATATATATAATTTTTATTGATGCAATTATGTTTGTGTCATAAGATTTGACATAACTCTTGAATAATTATTCGATTTTATCTCGCAGAATATTATGCCTCTCCAACGACAGCGGCCTGATCGAACCGATCCTGAACACAGTCTCACTCCATCAAGTGAAAAAGCAGTGCCAATTAACACTTTTTCAATATTTCGAACGAGAGTTCGGCCCTTCTACCTCAGAGGCGTTTCTCGTGGCGCAGAGAAATTTCATTCAGAGCTGCGCCGCATATTGCCTGGTCAGTTATCTCATTCAAGTAAAAGATCGTCACAACGGCAACATCCTGCTGCACAGCGACGGCCACTTGATCCACATAGACTTCGGATTCATTCTGTCGACCTCGCCGCGAAATCTCGGCTTCGAGACTAGCCCGTTCAAGCTGACACCGGAGTTCGTCGAGGTGATGGGCGGTAATCAATCCAAACTCTTCGAAGAATTTAAGAGCCTCATTCTTCAAGGCTTAATCGCGGCACGGAAGCACATGGAGAAGATAGTTAACCTCGTCGAGATTATGTTGTCGGGTAAGTGGTGGTTTGTACTGACTGTGCTTATGCTCCGCTCGCATGTGCACTTTCAGCCCGCATGTCTCACCGTGTTCTATCGATTTTTCCGCAGGCTCTCAGCTTCCGTGCTTCCGCAGTGGTGGGGCGGCGACTGTTCAAGGTCTCAAGAATAGATTCCACCTCACGTTAACGGAGGATCAATTGCGTCGTCATGTCGAGGATTTGGTCGAAGGCAGCATTCACTCGTGGTCCACTAAACTCTATGATCGATATCAATACTTCGCAAACGGCACTCTTTAATATCAAGGTTAACAACCTTCTCTGTCTACCGCGCTTCTGATAAGACTGTCGTAAGGTCGAAAGAAAGAATATTAATCCGGTAAAGAGAGAAAAATATGTTGTGGTATTTCTTCCACAATTTTTACATACACTTAATAGCGGGGCTGACCAATCGGCGGCGCGCATGTTAATTGGCAAGCGTACGTGCAAGTCAGTCTGTCGCGTCGAAAAACCTATTCCACGAGTTGCAGTAATAATGCAGCAACACGAAGAAAAAAAAACTTGAATTAATTATATGTCGCTATTTATTTTAATTCGCGTTGCAATTATTTCCACAGTTGTTCGGTAAACAGATTTATTTATAGTGTGATATATTTCAAGAGACAGCTTCTATCGGTTTCAGTGTGTAAATAAAGAATTAATTTTTGCGATCGCGCAATGACGAAGGGAAACGGAAAGTTCTTTGTGGACAGGTGAGCTGATTTCGGTTGGGCAGCACTGTTTTCTAGCATTCCACAAGCACAAATGACGTTTAGAATGGAAAAGTCACTTTCCTCTTGGATATAGTAGATAGCCTCGCGATTTAGGCTAAACGTATAGAACGCAGATAGAGATAACTACTCTTTGAGTTTAACGTTATTCCTTGCTTTCGTGACGGGCAAGAACGATACGAAATATTTTTAGCGAATATCAGAGCGGTCTCGGCATTTGATAGATTAAAGAACTTCGCTTAGTATGAATATCTGAAGTGAGAGAGTGTGAATTGACTGGAGAGTGATGAGCGCTTCGTTGAAAGTTAAAAATATTTATCGTCGTTTTGAAGAATTGAGAAATGAAAGGAGGAATAATCTATGAGAATTTTGGTACCCAGTTGATTACATATATCCACTATATATAACGTTTTTTGTTCGATACATTAAGACTGCTGTTGTTTACGTATGCCTCAATTTGACAAATTACGAATTAGCTATCGCCGCAGTGCAGACGTTGCGTCGTTGACTGAGCGCGTTGGACTGCTAAAATCAAGTGTAGCTTACATAAACAAGCGTAATTTGTTAAAGGTGCCTTATTTGTGTAGAAGAACAGTGGGGACGATTAAATTTAAACACAGTGAAGTGCTGATGCGGCAATCTTAGCGTGAAGCTGATCGATCGTGAAGCGGACAATCCGTAATTTGTACATACATTATAAAGAAAAAAAAAACAGAGAAAGAGAAGAAAGACGTTGCGTGGACTTTCGTAGATAATTCGCGGCAATAAGCAGTAGGATCTACCTGCTCGTAGGATGGCACCGGTGAATTTCCATCCCCCGGGGATTCTAATACGCAATTCCGGCGAGAACGCGCGAGAAAGCTACGTACAAAACATAGGCTCGGATATTTAGCGGGAGGCGAATACTCAAAATATTTCCTACTTCGTAGATTAGTGCTCTTCGATAAATACATCTAATTGTACACGCGGTATAAATTAAGGACTAAACATTATACTATAGCGAATCTTAAGGATCACATTTGAAAGTTTTTACATGTTCTTATATTACGTAAACATTCTCATTCTCCCTTCTCCCCTCCTCCCCCCCCCCCAAATTCGACCCATAGCCGTGAATGCGAGGAGTGTCGTTGTAGCTGTGTACCGAGGATAATATTATTTAATCGCAATTCCTCGCGTAACGTTTTACGTATGTCCGTTTAAGTAAATTATATAGATATATATAAAAGCTATGAAGAGATATTGTACATAAAAATGACAAATTTTATCACCTTATTATATTATTATCGGTTAAGAAATCTAATCGAGAGGATGAAATGTTCGAAGCAAAATCAAAGTTGCGCTGGAGCCAGCCCGGAGTACCGGAGAGACCTGGGCCCTCTGACTTCCAAGTGTCTTATACCTTTCTCTCTATACATCTCTTTCTTTTTTCCCCCTTGCCCCTCGTCCCTCGTCATAACCGTCTCATGATAGACAGGCAGACCAGGAATCGGACACGATTGAGTACGATGATTGAGAAAATGCGAAGTTAATCCGTCTACACGACGATATTGGTTGTCCCTTTCTTATTTTCGATTTCGACCGAATACTTTCTCGTAAAAATTTGTATAATACTATACGTGTGATTAATGTGAGGGATTTTAACGTTCTCGTTATTACTGTATAAGAGTGATTGCGGAAGAAATAGGCGTAGGGCCACGACGGCCCTTTTATTCCCGGTCGATTAAACGCGCCCGAACTTTACTTCCTGTTCTGAAGACAGAACGTGAAACGTCAAGATCTCTGATTTGCCTTGATCTTTCACCTCATTGCGAGCTATTGATAATATCAATTATTGAATAAATTCGAATGCGATAAAACGAGGAGTTTATTTAGCACCCGACTGTCCGCATAAATTCCGCCTATTGTCGAATATTCATTATTTTGTACGACGTAGCGATCGCACGACGAAATAGTCGTATAACATGTAATAAGATGTCTAAATTCTTTTTATTAAGTTTGACATTCATTTGCATTTCGTAAAATCAATCGAGCTTACAGTACTAAGTAAACAATCATTACTACAAGATATCAGTCATGAAAAAGTTGCAAATTGGAGCTTGTACACATTTTATGTATACACTGGGGCTACGAAGTTGGAGACAAATGGGAGAAAGCAATAAGTATATTGCGAGTATCACAATAAGTTTTATACAATCAGGTCCCTTTATTGTTAATTTAATTTCTTCTTAGCTCTTTTTTTCTATTAACAACCAGAGAATTCTGTGGTTGTTAATAAAAATCAATAGAACTCTGAAATCTAAACTTTTTCTTCTGAAAGAAAGATTTTCGAAGCACAATTTCTGTTGCTCTCTCAAATATCTTTACCATTCAGTATTTATCTTTGCATGTGTTATTAGAACAGCAAAGGTTCAAGCAAAAGTTTAAAATAAAGGGTCCGCTCAATTCTAATGAGTTAAAAATAAAAGGACCAAACTGTAGTTTAATGGAGATCATTTGAAAACACAGCCTTATATTCTAGAGAGTTGTTGCAATAAATTAGAGGGTAAGATAGCTTCTAGCTTGTCAAGAATATAATAAAATGGATTGGAAAACCACCCGAGTATCGCACGAGCAACTACGCCCATAGTATCGGGATACTGATGGGTCAGCAGAGCCAACAGTGCCGTGAACGAGCATAGACCAGCCGTGAATAGGATGAAGAAGGGCAGCTCCTTCTTCGGGTAGACGCTGACGTCGTGAAATGATGGTAGAAGCTCTCGGTCGGCACACTCGGTGCATGTTGGATATGGATAGAACAGGTGTCCGCGCTCGAGCGGATAAGGTAACATCCTGAACGTGCCTTCCCATGTGCAGTGAAGTAGATTCAGGGCGCCTTCTATCTGCTTCCAGTGCGCCAAGTGGAAGAACGCATACGCGATCGCCTCGGAGTCGCCGCGCTTTAGTACGTGTTCAGGAGGCAGGATGAGCGGTTTCATCTCCAGTAGATACTTGGGTACATGAGGATTGAACTCCACGGCTCGATGAATGGCCTCCACCGCTGACATCTCTGCGGTGGTCAGACCCCGTTTACCAGCAATGTCAGCTGAAAACTTGTCCGCCACGAGCCGCGCTTTCAACAACGCCGCTGTGTAACAAATGGTCGCTGACTTTGGCAGGCTGATATCATCGTACTTGGCCAGTACGGCCTGTACATCTGCGTACGCTTGCATCTCCAGCAAGGTCTCGATGAGATTTTCGTGGATGTTCAAAACGTTCATGATCGGTGGTACCTCTTTCGTGAGATCGCGAAACATCTTTACCGCCTCCTTCAACTTACCCAGCTTTCTCGCGCACATCGCTAATCTTCTTTTGATATAAATCAGCACGTTTGTGTCCCTCCTGTGTATCGCTTCGGCTATGGAACCCTGATGCTGGGTATTCTGCGACTTTCTGTAATTATTCTCGGCCACTTTTAGAGCTTGCTTTAGGATTTTCTCTGCTTCTACAATTGTAGTGGCCTCTTCCTCTGCGAGAAGAATATAAGCTGGTGCACAATCAGGATTACGATCAAGAGCGCTATGTGCAGCTTGTATTCTCACTACTGGATTGCGCTCTCTCCAAGCTGTTTGCATGATCTCATATTCAGCTTTACCTGCAAGAGAAGAATTAGTTAAACTTCTTGTATAATCTCCATCTTATCTTAATATCTTAAGAGAAAAAAAAAAACAGAATATTCTGTATATTATCACTACGCAAATAATGAAAATATTTAGCAAGGTATTAATGACACAGATATTTCTGAATTAATGTTTTCAAAGTGAATAAAGCCAGATGCAGACTCGCCTCTGATCTTACCTGTATCACCTTCACAAGTGAAGAATGTCTGATGATCCTGAGCAGACAGATTCATGTCATAGTATGTCAAAGGCTCCTTGTTCGTAGCCCAGTAAAATCTCTGATATTCCGCACCTCTGAACAAATTGATCGGATTGCGCCAGACCTTGCACTCTGGCACATTCTGTTGATTCGAGGAACCATTGGAGCCGTTGATATTCGAGTTATTGTTATCGTTAGCACTGTCACCGCCGCCAATCCATGGTGAGATGTGATTTAGAGATACCTGCTCGATAAACGAGGTACCGTACTTCCTGAAATACCACCACTCGAAGATGAGGATCAAGCCAGAGATGAGGGATGAGGTGCCGGTGAGGGCGACGTAGAATTTTGGGGTTAAGGTGCTGAGGAACATTGTCGAGTCCAACATGCTGGTAAATAGCAGTGCCATTTATGCTCTCGAGGGGCGATCGCCCGCTTCCTACACTTGTTCTAACTTGTAGCGAGCAGTGTGTTCCTGTCGCTGAGACACAAAAGCGTTCACCACTCTTCACAACACGACGCACAGCATCAAAAGTGCATATAACCTCTTCTCTGCTCTTATCCACGACAGATCTCCCGCCGTTTCGAATATCACGTCGATCGCGTTCGAAAAATGTAGCTCGTATTTCGTGAATGACGCTCGTATGTCAGGTATTTAACTCAACACGCGTGCATTGTCGTACGCTCCCGGCGAATAGTAAATATTTTCGACGATGCTAAGAACATCGCGTACGAAACAAGCAAATCAGCTTGCTGCTCGGTCGATAGTGTTGAAAATCAGAAGATAAAGTCGTAGAAGAAACGCAAGTGATGTTGTAAATAAAAAAAATTGTTAATACGTTATTATTGCGGCTTATCTATGTAATTCTGTTGCATTTATATATATTTTGAATGTTGAAATATCTTTAAATATATTTAGAATAAATAAATAATAAAGAATAAAAAAGTTTCGGATTTTATCTTTGCCGCGCATTTTTGGATAATATTTTCACATTAGCAATTATTGTGATTGGTCCGCTGTTCGATCTTTTCGAGAATCGCATTCTTCTCTAGATCTCAATGGCGGAATAGCACTTGCGTCGCTCCGTACATTTTGATATTTTTACTGTTTCAAAGTGAATTCTGCTTGCTAGAAATTATTGGACACGTCTCGTACTTGTGGTAATGTAATCCTTGTGTACAATAGCTGTTACTTGTATCACGATTTTGGTCTCAGCGATTCATTTTCATTTCAGATTGATCGAAATCTTCTTTATACATTTCACGCCAAAGTATAACGAAGATCTAAAAGCGTATTTTCTGCATAAAGAATTATCGAAGATGTCTCGTAAAGTGCTTATTGTAACATAAGCACGCGATCAGGTATGTACATATATATCATCATTCTATAATTATCTGCATTGATTACAATTTTTGTAATACTTGGTTATGTTGATCATTTATTAAAATATTTCAATTTTTATTTTCCTATTAAATAATATGTGCATTTTAGTTGCATTTTCTATATTTATTTCATTTGTTCTTTCTTTGCTAAGCGCGAAATATATATCAAAAAATGTAACTAGTTAACAAATTGAATTGCTGCGAAGTGATAGATTCGTTGCTTTCGAGAATCGCAATTACTCTTCGATAAATCTCGAACCAAAGTCAATAAACACATCAGTTAGTAAACGCGTCGCAACGGACGATGGAGTCGCATTCGCATCGCTCCGTATTTCTTATAGTTTTTAGTGATTAAAAGTGTATCTCGTGTTGAATTATTATCAAAAAATGTCTCATAAAGTAATCGTAGTAACGTGAACACCGTGTACAATTGTTATTATGCACCACTACCGTGACTTCGGTTTCGGCAATTTACTTCTGCCCGGAAATCCGACGAAATCACCCTTCGCGCCAAAATGTTGCAAAAAATCTAGAAGTAGATTTTGCACGCAAAGAACTATCGAAAGGGTTTTGTAAAATGTTTGTAAGTCTATATAACGTAAATATAATACAATCGAGTAGTAATATGCGTCAATTTCTGAAGTTTGACTTCGGCGATCTACTTGAGCTCGAAATCAACTGAAATCGCGAATGTCTCGTAATGGCGGCCGTTCGTTGTAGCTCGTTGTGTTCGCTTGCTAACATGTCAATATTGTGATTTCAGTATCAATGAACTGTTTATGTATGCTGGAATTGGTCAAAATCAGTCAAAATCCTTTTTGCATAATCACGTCATTTTATCAACGAGTGCAGTGAACATGCAGTGGCGCATCATCATCAGATATGTAAGTACAAGTTATTATATTAAAAATAATTGTTTATATCATCAATGGTAATTATCTTGATTTAATAAGCTGATGTGATAAATATTTACTGTTCTATCTATAATTATTATTTTTTATTTTTATATCTGGAAATAATAAGTTTTCGATGCATAATATACTTTTATTTATTTTTAATATTACTTTTATCAAATATTTTATGCTTATATTTCAACTAGCGCAATCTGTGAAGTTTATATGTATTTTTTATAACTAAATCTAAATTGATAACTGCACTCTATAATGTTACCGACGTTTGGTCATTGGTTGTGTACTGTTATCGCGCTTGATATTTCAGTACTTTACCTAGAAAATAGATAATTTAATCGTATTTTATCAATAACACTATAGATGGAACTAAATTGCTGAAATATGCACACATTACATCGCGTTATAAAATTATAAAACTTCAAGTAAATTTCTTTTCAGATAAATATCGCAATATATTGCACAAATTAAAATAAAATTTATTTATTTAATTATACAATGAATAAAAGATAAATATATATAAATAATAAATATGATAACAATCATAATTAATATATTAGGTATATAATAATAAATGTTTATAACTACATGAGCAGTGAAAATATTTAAAATTGTGAATATTATGAAAGAGAAGTATTTATGGGTAGAATAGAAATTGAAACTTTTATGAAGAATGCGCGTTATATAAGAATGAGGAAGTAAATAACTGGAATAATAAAAGTGCATAATGAACGGATAATAGGTTACTATGGACACGCAGTTATTTATATGACACTTTAAACGTCAGCGGATCCTTCCGCGCGTGCGAAGGTCTTTCCTTCTGTCTTTCTTTCTTCCTCCGCGTGACGCATTTCGCTCGTCCCAATAACCCACTTATTGGAGAAGTGTCTTCGAAACGGCTACTTTATATACAGGATGTTCTGTGTACAATTCGCAACCTTAATTTTAATGACGGATTCTCTGATTAGTTTAGGATCAACTTTTCCTTAGCAAAGTGTTAAAATACTGACATCATTTATATAGATTAAATCTTAAAAAGTCAAATATTATGATTACAACATTATATTCCTCAACTAATATTAAATTCACTTTAGTAGAATTTTTGCTTGATTACTTTTAATTATTTTTAAATTTAGAAAGATAACAAATAATGATTTTTTTATGATGTTTTCGCGATGGAAAAATTAACTGCAATTTGTTCAGGGAATCTCTCGTTAAAATTGAAATTGCGAATTTGTGAGACACCGTGTATCGCACTTTAGTCCGTGACATGCGTACGCAGTTACGTACAAATGTCTCTAAATAGGGTGTAGCTATTCGATTTCTTTTCTTGTCACTTCACTGAGAAATTTCTCATGGGAGAACCCAGTATCGTCGACGCTCGCAGCTGGCGATATGCGCTTCTTTTTATTGTTTAGAATTACTTGTAGACTATCGCGTTACATCTAAATTTACAATTTTTATTGAAATCGGCAAGATTCTTGTATACGATTAATCGCATTGAATTGTCTCGACTATTTTTTTAAAGCGAATATCAGAGTTTCTCAATTCGAACATTGTTTGTGCTATAATTCTTATAGGCGATTGATTTATCTCTCTTTCTCTAAGCCCCGTGTGGGAAGTTACTTTTAGAGAATTCTATAGTAAAACTTTGTTCAGCTGCAAGATAGGACAAAAAAGGTGGATCGGCTAATCTGATAAAAAGCGGATATTCTCATACAAAGTGTGCGATCGTAAATAGTGATAAATGTGAAGAAGTGATAAAATAATATTCAAGGAAAATATCTACGTAAAAAAGATTTATAATTGAGTTAAAAGTGAGCGTATTTAAAGCTCTGTAATTTAATATTACAATGAATAATCTTTTATAATAATTTGAAACTGACAATTTTTGTAATTGTTTATTTTCAGTTTTAATTAATTATACAAATAAATTACTGGCATATATTCAAGTAACTTGCTCGTCGCGTGTCGCAACGTCATTTCCCATAAAATCTTTAACACGATAAGCGCGCATCTGCATTTAAATACATTTCATTATAATTTTGAGCGCTTTCCTATCTGTCTCCGAGAGACATTTTCTTGCGACGAAAAGATGATTTTAAGATAATCTCGTTTGTCGCCGATATTTCCGACGCTATACGGAGAAAATTTTATATAAAAAATTACTATGATACGGTAGTCTGCTATCGCGGATCATAAGAGGAATTATAAGTTTAAATACTATGGTCATTATGTGAAAAACATAGTAAAAATTGTTACAATTCCTTCATGGTCCGATATAAAATTTTCTCCGTGTATTGTACGCATTATCAAAGAAAAATAAAAAAGTCTAGTTCTCGGCTTTGTAATCCTTCGAGAATAAAGTGCAATATACTCGGAAGCAGGTGTCAAGGTAAAGGAAGGAAATCGCGCAATTTATTCAGAAAAGGGAGGATCGTGTCGGAGAAGATGTAAGCGTGCGGTGGCGATGTATATTGAAGGGGAAATTTGAAGATATATCTCTAAATTTTACGACTAAATATAATAAAAACAGTATACAAATGCAAAGTCCTTATATTTTAATTAACTTCGAGATGCATAAGTAATTTATTTCAGATTCCGTGGTATTTATTTATTTTTATATTATTGTCACTACACTTTCGTTTTCATTTTTCCTATCTAAGTAATGTTCAAAGTACAATTTACAAAGTGCATTTTATAGACACAACATTTTAGATTATAATTGTTATAATTTATCATCGATTCATAATTTCTTAATTACAATGGACAATTCTAATTGATACAAAAATTTGTGCCTTTCAAAAAAAAATAATTTTTTCACATATAAAGTATTCCAAACCAATTGTATCATCCATTAATAGCAAATTTCTGAGATAATTTGAAGATTTTCGTCTCCAAATGACAACAGAAATCTGCTGGAATTAATGGGTGATACGATTGGTCCGGTGCACTTTGTATACACCGTCACCCTTATCCTCCCTTTCGTCCACGTGCGCTTGCATCTGTCCTCCTCTATCTCCATACCTCGATACAGTACAGTCGATCGGTCGGTCGGTCACTGAACCGCCGCCTCTTGTAACGCCGCCGTCCCGTCCCACCGGCGGCCAGTGGCGATCGAGCCGGTACCGTTAGGATCTCGCCGCGATCAGTCTGAAAGCAGACGACATGGAAAAGCAAACCGGAACCACGCGAATCTCGACGTCCCGACGATCCAGTTCGAAAATTTTTCAAACGCGAGAATCAGGAATCGATTGTCGCGATTAAACTTGACTTTGATTGAAATCGAACGCAAAACTGAATTCTTTCAAATTTGTCTTTTGAGAGATGTTCGAGAACCGTCGTTTTTCGACTGTGACAGAAAAGTGAGCAAAATTTATCCTGACACGTTTCTTCCTAAAATATTTTTCTTTGCGGCTACATCGCAGAGATCACGCGGGAAGAGAGTTAGCGCTGCCGCGATTTAAAAAATCCGCTCACTTCAAAAACTCGGCATTTCGTTCCAGACGCGACCGAGTAATCGCGGAATTGATAACGCAATTAAAAATTCGCTACTCGATTCGTTAATTAAATCTCTCGGCTGTTCGGCCGAGTTCGTAATTACGTGCTGAAAGTTCGCCGCGCGTTCGCGCACACTTTCCCCGCGTTGTATTCCTGTATTCTCTCTCTTTCTCTCTCTCTCTCTCTCATCAGTTCTCGTGTTTCTCGACGGCCACGCCTCCACCTACTTACCTCTCTACGTCCTTGCGTCTCCCTTTTCCCGCTGTTTCCTCGAGGTTGCCGAAGGCAGATGCCAACTTCGCCAAGTTTCAGCGTAACCGGTAACCGTATAACGAGGTATATGACGCCACGCGGCAGTCAATCTCGTATCACTAACCGTACCGTATGCACGCGCTGTATTTGAGATGCAGCGACGCCAGATATTTTAATGGCGTGCCGATAGGAATTTCCATTCTCCGACTATACGCCTATGATTCCACAATTGTGAATGCGAGAGTAATCCCGGAGGGAGATTAAAAAGAAAAACAAAAAATTGATTTTCCAGTATCACATTAAACTTTTACGGACGCGAGAATAGTCATCATTCACGCCTTCCTTCCAATCAAACTTTCCAAACGCGGTCGCGCTACAGGTCGCGTCTCGCGGAAGCGAGTTTCATAACTACGTCAATGTGGCTAATGCAGTGATGAATCGGTATTTTAGTTTGGAAAGAAGGGCTTTGAGTTGTCGGAAAAACATTAAAGTGCGCGGTAATAACTTAGTCCTGTCTTCAGTCAGATGCAATATATGTTGCTAGTTTATATTTCATAGTAGAGGATTCAACGGTACAAGCGATCAAAACGATCGCTTAGTGCTTCGAAATTCTTCCACGAAATAATTAAACTATCTTCCTCTTTTCGTCAAATTTTCATTTTTCCTAGAACTTTGTAATTATTAGTGAGCGCTTACGCAGGGTATGTTAAAATGATTATGCCAACGCTCGTGAGCGGAAAAATTCTTTACCGTTTTGCAATTTTTAAAATAATTATTGAGATATTAATTGAAAAGAATAGAATTAATTTAAAAAAATTTGTAAAAAATTCTTTTTAATTAATATCTCAATAATTTCGCGCGGCTAGGATGTATGCTCTAGGCGTGACAGCGGCGAGTGTCGGACAACAATGAAAAGTTTGGTCACTCGGCGAGAACAGAATTAACACGTGAGCATCAAGCGGGCAGAAGCTTTACTTTTCGTTGTCGTGTGAAACTCGCCGCTAGAGCGTATATGTCACACAGTTTTGCCGCGCAAAACGCATTTATTTGCCAATTCTTTTTGATTAATATCTTTATAACTACATATTTATTATAAAAAATTGCAAAACGATAAAGGACTTTTCTATTCAATTTACTCTCCTCTATCTGCATCATGAGCGTTAGCACAGTCATTCTCAGACATTTTGTATAACTTACACAACTATAATATTGTTTTATCATTGTAATGTAAATGTATTTATATTTTACAGATAAACTGTGCGCGTAATCAGTGCTATGTATAATTCGTTCCGTCGTAATATAATAAAGTGCGCGTCGGGAGTGCCGTTCAAAGTGTCGCGCGATTTTCGGATACGCGCGCGAGCAATGCGTGCGCCGCGAACGCGTGTGAGTGCTCGAAGGACTACTGAGAGGAGGAGCAGGCCTAGGAATTACTTGGCGACAGCAAAGGAATGATATGGTAAGTAATTTATCATAAAAAATGAATTTTTTTAGCGGGGAGGCTATATATATGATATCGATGCATTCCTCGAAATTTTTTCTTTATTTCGTAGAAAGAGAGAGAGAAAGAGAGTAAAAGCTTATACTATTAGTGGTTTCACATTTCCAGAGATAAATGCGTGCTTGAGATTCATCTCGATTTAAAAAGGCTCTTATCAAATGGGAAGCCAGAAAATTACATTGCACCGTTTAGAGAATTTTCTTTTATTTTATCCGATCTGACTTCCTCGTGTAAAGTTCGCATCTCCGTCGTTACGTTGACCCAGATAAACGTCGCAATCACGCGTCCTAAAATGCTACACAATACTGGACGCGCCCACGCGCGAAGAGAAATGCGTGGGCGAGGGTCAGAAAGCCACGCGTCCTTATTCCGCACTAGCGTTTTTACAATTTCTTCGAAAAGAATTTTTCTGCAAAACTTAAGAAACATCAAGTATGTATTTTTCCTACAACGTATTTAATGGATAAATATTTTGATGCAGAAATAAGATAAGTGCAAAATATAGAACAACGATGAGAAAATATTGTAAATAGAAATCGGACGAGAAAACATTGAAGTTGATTGTAATTGTAATTTGAGTGTATCATTAATGTATACATATTTAAATAATGAACAAATAATTGTGCTCATAATTATAAATTTCTCTAAACATTGCTCTCTCTCTCTCTCTGTCTTTCTCGCTTTCTCTACGCATTAAATCAGATTTTTTATTGCGAAAGTTTGTCATCGTGACTGCGTCTCTGAAAAAAAACGCGGTACCCTTTAGCTGCATAGTCTTAATTCAACAAACGACGAATGCTTTTTTTTTCAAGAAACTAAACATCAAAGAGACTATTTCTCACAATGAGATAAAATAGCCTCATAGTCGCGACGTCATTTGCGTACAGCAAACCGAAATATTAAACAAGATAGCAGTCGCATAAGTTGTAACTTAATCCTTTCTGCCGTCAAACTTCGCTTGCCCAGAGCGATAAAACGGTCAAAGGGATTTAATTCGATATGTCGAATAAGGATGTTACCGACGACCGTGATTATTTCCGTGAGATAATTCAACTGCGAGTTAATATCTCTTCGTTTAGAGTTTCAATGTAATATAACCACCTTCAGTATTCGTCCTTTTAATTACCAGTCCGGGCTCCATATTTTACAGATATTTGAAACAGGAAACGGAAATGAAGTTTATCATTTCTTCCTACGTATAATGCGCAGTATTTCCGTTTCCAGTGTTAACTTCGAAAATCTTTTAATATATCGTAATAGCAAACTAATAAATTGTTTCACTCTTTTCGCATTTTATTTCTCCCAAGATCGTCGTTAAAAGACCGTCGCTTCCGAACGAAAGAAATTCCCTCAACGTGAAATAAAATATTTCTCGTGCGCAGAAGAGTTGAACGCGTCTAGCTGTGGTTTTTTTGCGTGTCGCGTGCCAAATTGCAGTGCCACGATTGTCACGGATAAGCCGATGCGAATGCGCGCATTTAACTAACGCGCGCGCGCGCGCGCCGCGTCCCGATATTCACTCCATCGTCCGACAAACTGCATAAAACACGTGCTACGACCCGTAAATTCATCGTCGGGTTTCGTGCGGTAGTTTGCCGTCGCGGTAATTGATATCGCAGTTTGGTATCGGCTGACGCCGTGTCGGCGGAGGGGAGGGCCTCGGCATGGAATAAGGGATGCAAGGGCGAGGGGTGGCAAACGAAGAAGGTCGACGAGGGACGAGGGGGAAGGGGGGTGTCGGTGGCGAGTAGTGGTGCGGGATAGGGAAGAGGGGTGGAACGGTGAGGATGGTGGATAAGTGGGACGAGGGGGCAGGGTGGCCACAGCGAGAGGAAGAGGAGGAGAAGAGGGGGTAGGAAAGGAAGGGGAGAAACTACGGGTGATGGTGCACGAGACAAGCAAACGAGTAGGGGAGGATGGACGCGGTCACTATGGCAACCATGGCTGGGTTTCAGGGCTCCGCGACGGCGAGATGGTTTGGGTAATGTTCCGCGCGCCTTGGAATGGATTTCTCTCGCTTTGCTACCAAATGGGGTTAGTCAGCGCTAAGCGCACGCCCGTTTTCTTCGCGCCTTTTCTCTCCGGCCTCCCTCCGCCACCATCTCCCGCGGTTTTTCGATATCGCGAATTTTGTACATTTCCTTCTAATTTATTCTAATCTCTCACGCGCAGTAGGGGCTATTTTCAATTGTCATTGTGTTGCAATTATTTATATAAAAAATAAGAAATACTTACGTAAAAGTCGCAATGTATTTAAGATTTCAATCATCTTCGTTTGATGATGATGACAAGGCGCGATTAAAGTTCACTATCCAATTTTCTTCAATAGAAATTTTATTTTTTTTTTATACGATTAGAAATTATAATTATTATTGTAAGTTGTTATATAAATAGTTTTGCAATTCAACAATATGTCTGTGAATTTTTTGCATGCAGGAAAAACAAAGCTTTCTATTTATCTGAAAGTCGAAAAAGAGGATTAAAGCAAACTAACGATTTAAAGTTCAATTTGAAGTTCAATTGCTTTCCAAAGAGAAAAGAACGAAGTTCACCAATGTGTATTCGTAAGAAATTCCGGCGAGATTACTGATAGCTAAAGCTTCGTTCCGTTGGGAACCATCTCGGTTTGGTCATTACAAAAAACCCTGATAATTAGCGTCTTGCAACACACACGCTGTGACGGGCGAAAAATCGCAAGTCACAGCTTATTGCGCGTCGTATGTTATCCCTCGTGTACCGTGTCCGCCGCGACGCGATTCTCACACCGCAAGAATGATGACAGAGAAAGGAAAGGCGGGAATATGGCAGTGCTTGATGAGAAAGTGGCTAGACCTCGGAACTCTCCGGGAGTAGGGATAGGAGAAAGAGAGAGTAGGGCATAGTAGAGGAGAGAAGAGTATTTATTACGTGTTCTATGACGCGTGTCCAGTTAAAAGATTAAAACGCAGCACCGAACAAAAACATAATGCTAATAAATACGCCGTGAGAAAACGTAACAAAGAACAGTTAAACAGTAAAGTCTCGGTATATAATTCGAGTTGAATCTCGACAAACTTGAATTAAATTAACAAGAGGAGATATTATATGAAATACCGCGAGAAAAAATTAAGGAAAAAGACAATTAGTGTTAGATTTATAAAAGTAAAGCAATCCGAACTTGTGTTTATGATTGTATTAAAAATTAATATAAAAGCTCTATAAAAAAACCAGTTATTTTATTTTAAAAGAATTATAAATAGTTTCTCTTTTAAGTAGACTCGATTTTTGCAACGTCAGCATTCCATTTTTAGAATTTTGATATAATTGTCAGAAAACACTCGTTCAGTAATTGAATCAAAATGAGAAGAAATAAGAATTGATCGAAGAAAGATAAAGGAAAAGAGAGACTTTCGCTCGGAGTTAGCTACGAATAAATTGAGCAAATTTTAGACAAGACGGATCAATCAGAAGTTCAAACTTCTACGTTCTGATCGCAATCGCAAACCCACGTGGAGGAGAATGTGAAGAGAAAGAGGTCGCGAAAGGTCGGCGCGTCCTTGAATTTCGATTCTAACTATCGAAGTGGAGCATACGCGGTTATGATTTATCGGAATCACTTCCATTAGCACAATTGAAGTACTGAGAAACAAAACAATAATTAAATTCAAAGCACAGACACTCAGCAGAACTTGTTAACAAATGTATCGATGAACACATTACGAATTGGCGCTTTAGGCGCTTTTTTTGTTTGGAACATTTCTAACATGGATATTTTTTATAATAATATTATACACTTTTTTACGTTGTAAAATGCATTAAGTATAATTACAAAATGTTCACAGGATTTCCAGTAAAATTCCATTTGAATTGCATTTCTGATGAGTTCCGTCGGAGTTCGCGAGCTTTCGAAAAGACAAGCGATCTTCGTTAAGCGCTTATAAACGCCCGAAAGGATTAACATTTTATGCGACACGCGAATGAGTCGAGTTACTTATGCAAAACGCTGGATGACTCGTCGGCGTGCTGAGAAGGCGGCCGCGGAGCAGAGTCTCGTAGAAAGAGAAAGAAAGAAAGAGAGAGCGAGAGTGAGAGTATGAAGGTGTCGGTATCGAGGTCAAACGCCTGGCAAAGTAGACGTGCAACTCGTTCACATTTGCCTCCTTGCGTTTTAGTATATCGAGACCCACTGAACTGCTCGTACATCGACGACCAGGTCGATCGATATTCGCGCCTGTATTATTTCGGCGAACCGTAGAGTCGCGTTGACCCATTACTGACGCATTACGAATTTACCACGCGATTAAAAATCTTTCTTTTTGTTTCGTTTTTCAATAATACTATTCCGAACAAATTTTTTTAGAATACATCTTCCGTAAACTGTTAAACTGTCAGTTTTGAACTTATTGCTAAAATTAATTCGGAGCTGTCAGTTTGTTTTACGTATATATATTAAAACGCAAATATCTTCTCATATTACGCTCAATTTTCTCGACTGAGAAATCGAAATGATACCGACGTAATTATTGCCATTCAATTAGGATCTGTATCGAGTCATTAATGAAATAGAGAATATATTATAGATTAAACGATTATAGATTAAACTGCCATTACGGAATTGTAATTGCGATGTGGTGCGTCCCATTTCGAGAGATATCGATTAACATTTCGCGCCCATCAGACAGACGCGTTAATGGTCTCGATCACGCGCATAATCACGACGTATACACATCGCGTATTCGCGTGTTGCTTGCCATAAAAATGATACGTTTCGCGTACACAATTGTTTTCAGTCGACCAGGTGACGACTCCAATTTTACGCGAATTACACATCGATAACAAAAAAAATCTGTGGTTTCTTTGTATTCAACTGCATTCGATCAGATTTAACATTCTCTTTTTAAAGATGATAAAAATAAATAAATTTATATGTCTTACAAAAATTAAAAAATGTGAGAAACAAATAAAGCATGCGAATTTAG